CACACCAAGGTTTGGGCTACGTCCACACTGATTGTATTTATTTGAGGGAGAGAGCTCTGAGAGTAAGAGCGTTGAGAGGGGGTGAGAGAGCCTAGGAATTGGCCTTTGAAATGGCCTCTCCTAATTGTGAGGGTGAGAGGTCCTTTTATAGAATAAGGACTCCTCACTTATTACATATTTGCCCCTTCCTTTATCACATAATTACATTTAAGTCCCTCGAGTATTTGTACGAGATCTAAATACGAGGCCCTAAATATGGTATAAACAGTAGTCCCCTAAGTCTTCAGTCAAAAGAGTCTTTTGGCTGGAGACTTGAAATTCAGTCCATATGTGGGCCGAAGTAACTAGATGTTGTCTTAAACTGATGTTCGATGTGAGGCGGTGCTCAATCTGAAATGATGCTCAACTAGAAATAGCACATGCTGCGAGGCTGCTTGGCTCGTGGCTTATGTTGCCTTGGTTGGCTCGGCTTATGGCGTTGAAGGTGAGGGGGTCCCTTTTATAGAATAAGGGTTCGCTCTTCAATACATAAATGATGGGCTAGAGTTGATGCTCGGGGCGAGGCGGTTGCTTAGTAGGCGGCGATGCTCTCTAATGGTGGTGAGGGAGTCCCTTTTATAGAATAAGGGCTCGCTCCTCAATACATAAGTGATGGGTTAGGAGTGATGCTCGCGGCGAGGCGGTTGCTCAGCTGGCGGCGTTACTCTCTAATGAAGGTGAGGGAGTCCCTTTATAGAATAAGGGTTCGCTCCTCAATACATAAGTGATAGGTTATGAGTGATGCTCGCGGCGAGACGGTTGCTCAGTTGGCGGCGTTGCTCTCTAATGAAGGTGAGGGAGTCTCTTTTATAGAATAAGGGCTCGTTCTTCAATAAATAAGTGATGGGCTAGGAGTGATGCTGGCGGCGAGGCGGTTGCTCAACTGGTGGCGTTACCCTCTAATGAAGGTGAAGGAGTCCTTTTTATAGAATAAGGGCTCGCTTCTTAATACATAAGTGATGGCGTATGAGTGATGCTCGCGGCGAGGCGGTTGCTCAGCTGACGGCGTTGCTCTCTAATGAAGGTGAGGGAGTCCCTTTTATAAAATAAGGGCTCGCTCTTCAGTACATGAATAATGGGCTAAGCCCCCCAAGTATTTTTCATGAGGCTCAGTTGAGGCCTAATATATGGTACATAATGTAGACCCCAAGTCTTCGGTCAATAGAGTCTGTTGGCTGAATACTTCAAATTCAATCCATGTATGGGCCGAAGTGGCGGTTGTTTGGAGGCGGTATTTGTATACCCTGCATTGAAGCTTTGCAAATGAAGCTTTGAAGCTAGAGCTCTGTAAATAAAGCTTTTGAAGCTGATTGACATGAGTGATGCTTATGAATGTTTATGTTGATTGACATGAGTGATGCTCATGGATGTTGTCATGCGTGATGCTCATAAATGTTAACATGAGTGATGCTCATGAATGTTGACATGAATGATGGTCATGAATGTTTATGTATGATTGTCATGAGTGATGCTCATGAATGTTTATGTATGAATGACATGAGTAATGCTCACGTATAATTTGGAGTACTGGGCGTTCTTTTGATCACCTGGTTGGTGGCATGAAAGAGAGTACGGGTTGTATATTTCATCACCTAGTTGGTGGCATGAATGGCTAGTTGCCAAATGATATTTAGTGTACGAGTTGTATATTTCATCACCTGGTTGATGGCATGAATGACTAGTTGCCAAGTGATATTTAGAGTACGGGTTGTACATTTCATCACCTGGTTGGTGGTAATAGCGGCAGGTTACCGAAGAATTTTGGAGTACTGAGCGTACTTTTGATCACCTGGTTAGTGGTAATAGTGGCAGATTGCCGAATAATTGTGGAGTATTGGGCGTACTTTTGATCACTTGGTTGGTGGTAATAACGGCGGGTTGCCGAATAATTGTGAAGTACTGGGCGTACTTTTGATGACCTGGTTGGTGTTATTTTGGGCTTATGGGCCTTCACCATCTACACAACATTTCAGCCCATTTATTTTAGGCTTTGCCCTTTTTTTTGGCGTTATTATTATTACCCTCTGATGAGGTTTATACAGACGTCTTCGAAAGATAAGAAAAATAAATTACATGTTTTCAGCATGTTAATGGGCATCTTCTGGTCCAACAGAAAGTAGAGACAAGAACCTTGGTAGGCATCTTCTTATCTTTAATCATGTTATCCCGTGGGATAGTGGAGTAGTGGAATAGTGGAGCATCTTCTTTTCGGCTTTTCCTTTTATGCTTTCTGCTTTTCTTTCTGATTTTCTTTCCGTTTCTTGACCCTGATGAATATGGCAGACAAGGAATGATAATAGATTTGATAATAAGAAAATACTCATATCTCCTCTTTTGCTTTCTTCTTTTCACTTTCCTCTATTTCTTTCTCTGAGCTGTCATGCATGTGCACCTTTGAATCTGCAGGTTGGCCACGATGGTGATGCTGTGTAGGCACTGTTGGAAAAGGAGGAGCCGATCACGTTCTTTGCTTGACCAAAGCTTTGCAAACACTGCTTTTGTCGTCTTCGTTCCTGTTGCACGCTCCCACACTGCTGCTCAACCTTGACGAAGCTAGATCTTTCTTTAGGGCCCTAAGCTCCTCAGCCGATGCCATCGTCTTTTCCACAGGGCAGATCCAATCATCATTGCTATGGGATTGATTCACGTTCTAACCCACATTCCATTTTTGCATATTGCATTGCCGATTTGCTTTGCTTCAAAATATCAATTCCGTGAAACAGTGCCACATGAACGAGGGTTGCAGTAAATCTTGCAAATCCTGATCCAATGGACAAAGCAAAAAGCTGGCTAAGAGAAAGCTTGCCGTAACTATTATAGGCATCAATATTAATATCAAACTGGGGTGTTAAGATCTTGGTAATGTCGTATTTATGCCCGGTAAAAGTGAAGAGCTTGCTGGAAAATATAGGGAATTTCTGAGCATCGAAAGTGTTAAACTTCCAGTAACAAAGAGGCATAATGATGTAGATGAAAATGACAAATCCAAACCCATCATTGAGAATGGAAGTCCATGGCGTGACGAGGGGGCTGCCGTGATAAGCAGAAATCCTAGCCCAATCGAAGGTGAAGACACCAACACCAAATCCACTATAACCTGAGCCAATCTGCTGAGCTATGATACTGTGTGGCCAAGCCCATCAGACCCATGAGAAGAACGTTAAGATGGGGAAAAGATAACCAGGGAATGCATAGTAGAGAAAGCTTGCTGTCAAGGCAATGAGGAAAAACTGCATCGGGGTAAGGCCTTTCGCTTTATGGTCTTTTTCGTGGAGTGCTCTGAACAAAGAAACCTGAGCAACGTTGGAAGGCCACCATATTTCCACCGAGTCGACCAAGTACTTCCTGAGAATCCCAGCCCATCCATACCCAATTACCTGAGTGGTGAGGACGATAACGAGGCTAAGGATAAAGCTCAAGCTCAGCTTGTAATAAGCCTTTATAATGGTGATTGCGCCAATCGAGTAGGCATCACCCCTACCGTGGGAAAATAAGTGTCTAAGTTCAGAATCACATCAAGGAGGGCAGGGTCGCCATTCCCAATCCTATTGAGCACAGCCGGGTTGAATGTCCGAATCCAATCAAGGATTTCAAGATCGACGCCTTCAGAAAGCTCCGATTCCCGTCCGGATCTGAAGTACTTATAAATTAAGACCATCACTAATAGTGACACCGGTAGGATGATACGCGCCACTGAAAACATAACTTTTTGTGAGATTGCGGCGACGACTGTAACTGAAATTGGGTTGCTAGGTTTTGCAGGATCGAAAAACCCAATCTTCGTTGAACAAATCGCAATCTTCCGTCGGCAGTTCAATCTTCTCCTCCTCCTCTTCTTCCTGAGAAGAACCCAACAATTCAATCTTCTGATCTTTGTGTTGTTCGACGATGGATTTCAGATCAACCGGCTCTTGGGTTTCATCCGAATTGTTGTTCTCCAACTAGGTTTCTTCTGAACTGTGATCCTCCAACTGGTTTCTTCTGAACTGTGATCCTCTAACTGGGTTTCGTATAGCATCAGAGCCATCGAGATCTGGGTCTGTGATGCCACCGACGGCCGCCTCAACGACGACGCAGACATAGTCGGAGACATCATCACCGTGGAGTTTATCAGAGAATTGAATCGGCGTGGGAGGAGATGGAGGAAATTGAGAACTGGAGCCGACAACTCGTACAAGAACCCTAGATCGCTGGTCTTGTTGCTGCTACTTCTGCATCATCTTTCTATCTTATTTTCTCGGGAAAATTAGAAAGATTGAGGTTTTTGAGATGGGGAGCCCCATTTCTTTTCTAGCCGTTCCTTTTTATTTCCTTAGAAAGTCGGTTGTTTGGATTGGAAAGAAATAATAGAGAGGAAAGAAAACCAAATATGGGATCTGGGAAAGCTTTGGTTTGTAGATTCATGGCGGAGGTAAAAAAAATAAAAGAGAACCGACACAGCTTTTCGTGTCGTTTCCCACAGACGGTGCCAAATGTTGATGCACAAAACCGGAGGTCTTGGAATAACGTAAATCCGACTGTGAATCTGCAAGTAATGTAAATAACACAAGATGTATCGTGGTTCACCTCAAGGTTTGGGCTACATCCACACTGATTGTATTTATTTGAGGGAGAGAAAGCTCTGAGAGTGAGAGCGTTGAGAGGGGGTGAGAAGGCCTAGGATTATCTGAAATTTATAAAAAAGGCCTTTTATTTTATTGCCTAATTTATTCAAGTTGTAAACGGTGGAGATGCAAAATGTAATTACTATTCATTAAGGGCGATTACTGTTTACTGGGTGGATTAAATAGTGAATAGCCTCGGAAGCCTCCCACACTAGAGTTGCTCTAATTAGATGGAAAGGATCACTTTGACAACATTGGAAAAAAACAGACCAAATCAGCTAAATTGAAAAATGTAGGGACCATTTTGGTATTAAAAGGGTTGTCTGGTAATTTAAACGGAGTTAAATTTCTCGCAAATCTCTCTCTCTCTCAAGCCAAATTGCATTTCTTAGCGCGAGGGTTTTTTTCCACAACTGCTTCTTCTCTCTCGCTCTGACTCTTATTTATGAAGCTCTCCAGCTCGCAGCAGCATCGCCTTCGAATTCCGGGTCGGATCTCCGATTAGGTAAACCCCTTTGGCCTTTCAAGCTGCCGCTTTTCCTAGTATTTTATATTGCCGTCTACAATTTTTACTGTTCCTGAACTCAATCGCTGAAAAGTTGATTAATCGAATTCGAAGACCCGTCAGTGTCAGTTTTTGTTTTTTGAGACCGAAAATTTACGCCGTAAATTTAATTTTCTAGGGTTTTGGGACAGGATTTGCCTGTGTTTTACTAATTTTCAGCTCAATTTTCTTGCAAAAGGTCCAAGGTAGGGTTTTTGTGATTTTTTTGGGGTTTTTTGTGTTCTCGTATGTGAAAATTGACTTGGGTTTTTGTTTAAATTGAATTTGGAAAAATGGGTTGAAATTGATAGTATTAATGCTTTAGTCAATTTTAGAAATTATTGTCACCGTTTCTCAAATAGAAAGTGTATGTCGACACCATTTGATGTTTTAATCATTGGTTTACTTTACCTAAACAAAATGCACTTATTTCGTCACTGCAATCAATGCTTCTCCCTTTCCCTCCCAGTAGTTGAGGGGGAGAGGTGTTATTGTCTTCTAACACACTAATCATGGGTGCGTATGAGATGTCGACAAGCAGTTGTAATCGCTAGGTAGTCATTGTGATATGTTTCCCCCATTAGGTGCTGAATAGGCGGTACATCAAAACTGTAATTCTCAACATTATATATGTATTGCGATTCTGACTCCAAAATTTGAACCAGAGAATTCATTGATTGGTATGCTATGATAGTTATACTGTTCGTTGATTTCACTAATTGCAGGGCAGTTCGAATTAGATGGCATCTTCACATAATGTTGAGTTGGAGGCAGCCAAGTTTCTCCACAAACTCATTCAAGATTCTAAAGATGAGCCTGCCAAACTTGCTACGAAGCTTTACGTGGTTCGTGTAGTTTTCTCTTGACAAATGGTCTTTTTAAATCTTATCCCCACCCACTATTTGCTCCTATTTATTCTGACACGCATGTACATGTATTTATTTGCATTGTGTTTGGGAAATGCAGATACTACAACACATGAAGTCAAGTGGGAAGGAACATTCCATGCCATATCAAGTGATATCAAGGTAAAGGTTAATATTGTACACTCTATTTGATGGTATTTTTTCATACTGGACTTATCTTAGGGCAATCAGAAATTTTAAGATTATTATCTAGACCTGTGAAAGAATTTCAAAACTGTGCTAGCATTGTTATCATTTATATGGTGAATCCTAATGATAATTTACTTAATTATCTGATAACATCAAGCTTGCTGTGTCCAAGAAAATAAGTTGTCTATACCTTTTAATCTGGAGGGCGCGGCTCCATTTTCTTTTATTTGGTTATTTACGCCACATATTGAGGATTGTTCGATTATATCCAATAATATTGGTTAGGTAGTTAAATAGTTTACTTAGTTTTGGTAAAAAAATAAGATTAGTTCAATATTAAACTGCTTTAGTATGGAGATTGTTTTACATTAAGCTATGTTTCTTTCTTTTTTTGTGGTTAGCTTTTCTTACACTACCTATTGTTTTAAATTTTTTCCAACACTACTATTTTTCGTGGGTTTTGTTTTGTTTTGTTAAATCAATTATTTCTGTGTAGAATGTCAACTCATAACCTGAAAAAGTTTGGTTTCTCACAGTTGATTTGTCAATTGGGTCTTCCTCCATCATCTTCATTTCTCTGGGGGCTGTGGGGGGGGGGGGTTCTTATACTTTTCTCTAACTTATCTTCCTTGATCCACTTAGGGCCATGGAGACTGTTATTAATCAGCATGGTCTTGATATTGAAGCTTTGAAGTCCTCACGCCTTCCTATGTCTGGTGGAACTCAAACAGGTAATTTTTCAGTCACATTTGGAGGTCAATGTTGTTTTATTTCAATCAAATTGGCTTGGTCAGTGAGGGGTAATTGAAAGCCACTTTTCTGCAGCTTCTTCTCATGCTGTTGCTGTTGCAAAAGATTCCAAAGCAGGCTTGGCTGAAAATGAGATGTCTAATATGGACAAGTTTTCTTTAAGCGGACCGCCTGTTGGCCCTAGCAGTACAGGAAATGATTATTATCAAGGATCCGCAGCTCATCGGAGTAGTCAATCTTTTGATCATGAAAGTCCATCTAGTTTAGACTCTAGGTCTGCCAATTCACAGTCACAAGAAAGGCGTGATACAAACAAACAGGTGAATCGAAAGGATGGTAAAAAACCCACCACTAAGAGGAAGAGGGGAGATACATCCATGCCTATGGAACCGCATCCTGAAAACCCTCAACATCTTGATACTGGAAATGCTGCAGTTAATACAAGGAAGGGAAAGACAAACAAGGTTGAACCACCTGCTGGTTTCTCAAGTAAAGGTGGTGAAACTGCTAGTTTTAATATTGGTCTGGGTGGTGGTCAAATGGAACATTTTACATCGTTCTCTGGAAGTATGAGACCACTGCTCAGAGCCAAGCAAGAAGGTCAACCTTCAGAAAAGCAGTTGGATGTGACAAATACTACCAATTCGATGTCTCGGGCTCTAAGTTCAAATCACCCTGAAGAAATGGAAGTTTCCTCTACTCATAATGCTTTAACAAAGCAGCAAGCCACTTCCATACCTCCTATACATGACACTATGGGCATATGGAATCAAAGTAAAGCTGGCTTTCCATTTGAAAAATCTCAAGTTCCCAGATTTTCTTCTAATGTTGCCATTCCAGGTAATATGTCAGCAGAGATTCCAATGCAGCAGTCAACGTCTCCATCACCTGGATCAAGTAAGAATTTGGAAAAGCGTTGATATTATTGTGGAATTAACTTGTTGGAAATCAATGCATCTGAAATTTCAGCTCACAAAATTGAAAATTTCCAAATAACCAGCATTAAAATGGTACTAAAAAATGGACCCCTTGGACTATGTCCTTAAAGAATATTCTCTCCGCGGGATTATTTGAATGTCAAGTATGGTTGAATCATGTTGAAGATGACTTATCTATATTTTGGAAAGATATCTTCTTTTTCTTTTGTATTGAATTAATATACAAACAAATAAATTATTTTTAAATGAGGTTACTCGTATTAAGGCTGAAACTCTTCTACTATCTCCTGGGTTTTTGAGTAATTAAGGCTCACATGATAATATTGGAACCTCAGGCTCTTTTGGCAAGATTCAAGGAGGCGTGCCAGTTGCATCTGGTTCATACCAAGTAGCAGAACCTGGATTCTCAAGTCCAATCAATTACAGCAGCACATTGGCCTCGACTGGAAAGGTCTCTGAGCATGATGGAGGAAATACTAATATATTAGCAGATGGAAATAAGACATCTCAGGTACTAAATCTGTATCCATTATTCCATTATGTTCTCCACTTTTAGGCAAAACAAGGGCATTGTGTTTAGTTGTGTCCGTCATGCTGAATTAAGTTGTTTCTAGTATTCTTACTTGATATATGAGGAAGACATACTAAAAGAAAACATAGCTAGTACAATATACTTACTATTTGTGTTATTCTTTCAGATCTTATGGGAACATTTATTTTTTAGAATGCGTATATTGCATGTGGTTAGTCTGTGTTTATTTGTTTTTTGTTTTTTCATTTTAGCAGTCTGCTTAGTTGGCATTGCCTTGTGTTTAGTTGATACCCGTAGATTATGTGGAAATCTGTTCTGCACATGAAATTATTTGCTCCTCTGATGTTTGAAAGTTTGTGCATATGGCAATTTGCAAGTTTGACACATTTCTTCATAGGCTGGAAGGCAAAATAGTGCAGTAGAAATGAGTATGCTGAGAAGTGCAGCTCTGAGAGATACTGGTAAATCCCCAGTTCACTTGGCTTCTGGATCTCCTGGCATGCCTTTCCAGGAACAGCAGTTGAAGCAGCTCAGAGCACAGTGCCTTGTCTTTTTAGCCTTCAGGTAGATAGTTATATTTCAGATATGATGTTGTCCTGTTTGGTCAAGATGCTATCCAGTTCAAATCTTTGTCTTAGTCGGGTTAACTGTGGTGTTTTGCATACAGAAATGGTTTGATGCCAAAGAAACTACATCTTGAAATTGCACTCGGTAACATTTTCCCTAAAGAAGGTAACTATTTTCATTTTTTTTTCTAAATCCTCAATTTTTACTGACTTGCCGCCCTAGAATGCAATAGCTTTGTATTATCAGCCTTGATGTATTAATTTAAAAAAATTTCAGGTGGCAATACAGATGGATCTCGTAACGAGTTCGTTGACCATAAAGGAAAAGCGCAGTTATCAAATGAGCCAAATATCATTTCTGATGCTACTACACCATATGGAAGACTTAGCAATGAGAGGGAAACTGATAAAATGCTGCCCAGTGCCTTGTCCACCGGAAAGTTCCCTGAGACTGATTCTCTGTTCATAGAAACTGAGAACCCGAAAATGGAAGAAAAAAATGGCCCACCTCCAGATCACTTTGTACTTGCAGAAGAAAGAAACCATCTTATTGGTTTACAGAAACCAGAATCTGAAATACAGACCCATGAGACCACAATCTCGCCGGCAAGTTTAACCATTGCATCACAGCATCCTGAATCTTCAGGTGCAAGGAGTGGTTCAACTGTCAATAATCCTTTGGACAATATGGAAAATGGACATTTGCAACTTGGAAGGGTCCCAAATCTTAGCAGCAGCAATGTCATGGGGAATCAGCATACAGGTAATCACCCGGCTTCTTTTTCACTCAGAGATTCTTGGAAACCGATTTCTGGAATTGGAAATGATCATTACACAGCAGGTGCATCAAAGGATGCTCATATCCTGCCGAAACATTTATATCAGGGTGAGAACAATATATTTAAATCAGTCTGTACTTTTTCTTTGTACTGATCTTGCTAGTTCTGGTAATTATGGTGTAGATGGTTTATAGGTATTAGTATTTCAAAAGAAATGCTTTTTGGGTGTATGAAATCTTTTTTAACTCTCTGAAAAAATACCGTTTTCAACTGCAGGACAAGTAAAGAATGATAACCATACTGATTTGCCACCTTCACCAAAGTACACTATGTCAGAAAAGTGGATTATGGATAAGCAGAAAAAGAAGCTTTTGGATGAACAAACTTGGATTCTAAAACAGCAAAAAGCGAAGCGAAAAATTGCGACATGTTTCCACAAATTAAAGGTCTGTTAGAAAAACATTATGTGGCTTTAAATATTGGTTGTTCTTTCATTACCCCAAAACATTTTTTTATATTCCTGCCTGGTATTTGTTATAGGCTTAAATTGTAGTTATTGAGTTTTTTTTTGGGGGAAAAGAAAAAAGGGGGGGGGGGGGAGAGAGAGAGTTTGGGGTTTGGGAGCGATACCTTAGTCCCCTTTCTGGACTTTTGTGAAATACAAAAGGGATCATCTTCACACATTTCAGGTAGAATTATGCTGATGCAGATGTGGGTTATGCCATTTGGCTAGGGCAGTGTACCCTTGCACCCAAGTTCGAGCCCCCCTCTAGTAATAGAGTAGTTTAGAATAATCTAAAACAGTATTATGCTTATTTGTACTTTAAAACTGATCCAACTGTGTTAGAAGTTTCATGGGTATGATTGATTGAATTCAAAGAAAGTGGATGGTATGGAAAAATGTCTCCAGAATGCTAAGTGCCATGTATGTATGCAATGAAAACAATAGAGCCATCCAGAGAAGTTTAACCATTTATAAATTTTGTACCTTGTTTCTTTGTGAGAGTAGCATAAAGAAGATGTTGAGAATATCACGTTTAAGAATGGGAAAAAATAGAACAAACTCTGGAAATCGAAAACAAATAACCAAGATAAATAACACCAAGAATTTACGTGGTTCGGCAATATGTGCCTACGTCCACGGGACAACAACAACAATCTTTCACTACATCAATAATGAGTACAACCAATAATCTTGCCAAATCTCTAGAACTAGGACTTGACGAAAAACCTGATAGAACAAGAACAAGAAATACACTATCTCTTTTCTTTTCTCTTGCACACACTTTGCGCTTTTTTCTCACTCTAATCTTTTGAGTGGTATACAATTTATTGTTTTGCTCCCTTCTATTCAAAATTAGTACAATAGCCCCTTTATATAGACATAATAAAGGTCTTCTTCAATAAGGATTATTAATCCTAATTGGAATCTAGTTATAAATCCTACTAATTGATAAACTAACTCCAATTGGGAAAAACATTTTAATCCTTTAAGACTGTAATTCCTTATAGACTTAGGACAACTTATCATGGGCTGGAAAAACCTAATAGAAGGTTTTGCGGGTCGGGCTTAAAGGCAAAATTTAAAAGCAATGCTTGCACTAAAATTACTTGATTATAGGTGCTTCTCTGTTGGAAGAATAGAAGAATCAAATTCTTTCGGCCAGTTTACTTATTCAGTGAGTTGGCACCTCATAGCTTGTATGAAGCGTGGATCACATTGTAAGAGACGCATAAAAAAGAGAACATAACCAACCATGTATTGCCGTGTTTGTTTTGTTATGAACTGCATCACAACTGTGTTTACATGACGCTGTACAGAGTTGCACAGCACATCCTAATGTTCACATCACTGAAGGGATAATGTTTTGATTTATTTATTTTTTGTTATTTTTCATGTACTTTCATTATTCCTATGTCTCACTCTTCAAACAATACATCGGTTATGGAAAGGAATTTACTCAACTACTTATCTTGTTTATCTTGTATTTTTGAAGCTGTTAAAATGATCTCCATATCATGTTTTGACCAAATACTTATCTTATATATACTCAATTCTCATCTATGCGTATGAATATATCTTTGCAAAATGATATATTCAACTCAATGCATGGTGTGATAGATTCATTTATTCTATTCTTAATATTGTATTTGCCTCATGTACTGCATTTTACTACTCATAGGAAAATGTGAGCTCTTCTGAAGATATATCTGCAAAGACCAAAAGCGTCATAGAACTGAAAAAACTACAACTCTTGGAGCTGCAACGCCGTCTCCGAAGGTTATTGATTATCCTATACAGGCTTCCAAGTGAAGACCAATTACTCCCTCTGTCCCTTTAAAGAATTATCTGCGTTGCAGAAACATAAATTTAAAGTACCACTTTAATGCTTTCTTACCAAATTATTTGGAACTATTTTAATGGTTTTCTATAGAAATTTAAGTAACCATTTAATGCTTTCCTACTTCTCAGGTGTTTGCATTCAATTGTTTCTCTTATTTTTAAATCTAAAATTATGAAGTATTTCATATCAAATTCATTTAAATAGATGGCTAAGGGTTGTGGAGAAAATGGAAAGAAGTTATTTAATCTTTTACCGTGGGTAAAGTTCTTTTGAATTCCTAGAAGAGAAGTGTGGACCATTAATTTCGGACAGAGGGAGTATAAATTTATCTTTTCAGTCTAATTAGTGCAATTTTTTTTTCTATCTAATTTGTTTTATTTCCCAGACACTTAAAACCATGTTTTGACTTGTTTGGGCAGTGAATTCTTGGGTGATTTCTTCAAACCAATCAATACTGAAATGGATAACTTGAGAAGTTGTAAGAAATATAGACATGGTAGGAGGATAAAACAACTTGAAAAGTTTGAGCAAAAGATGAAGGAAGAGCGACAAAAGAGAATTCGGGAGAGGCAAAAGGAGTTCTTTGGTGAAATTGAGGTTCACAAGTACGTATTATATCTTTGTCCAGTGCGCGTAAATATTTATAGCATTCTATGTTTTTGTGGAGCTATAGCAATCATTTATTCCATTCCCTAGTTGATTTGGTTTCCGAAGTGTTCTGCGCAGTTTCTGACTTGCTTTCTAATCTGGACTTCAGGGAAAGACTGGACGATGTGTTTAAACTTAAGAGAGAACGCTGGAAGGTTTTCAATAAGTATGTGAAGGAGTTCCACAAAAGGAAGGAACGTATCCATCGTGAGAAGATTGATAGGATCCAACGTGAAAAGATAAATTTATTAAAGATCAATGATGTGGAGGGATATCTGCGAATGGTGCAGGTATGTTCTAAGTTTTTACTGACTTCAGCATTGCTTCTTAAGTTTACTCTTTTTACATAACATTTTTGAAACTCATGCTAGGATGCCAAATCTGACCGTGTTAAGCAACTTCTCAAAGAGACTGAGAAATATCTTCAAAAGCTTGGTTCCAAACTACGAGATGCAAAGGCTTTGGCAAGCCGATTTGAGCATGATGTGGATGAAAGTGGAACTGCAAGTGTGGTGGAGAAGAGTGAGCCTACTTTTGAAAATGAAGATGAAAGTGACCAGGCTAAGGCAAGTTTATTCTCTCTGCACTTCACTTCTTAGTTAAGTCCATGCTCATTTTTTTATTTTATTTTTGTTTTGCAGCATTACATGGAGAGCAATGAGAAGTACTATTTGATGGCTCATAGGTGCTGATATGGCTTCTTTGTCTTGGGTTTATTGTTGATTAAACTTTGTTTGCTGCTTTGGAATAGCTATTCTTCACTACCTAACATTTACTTAGTGGTGGTTAAGCTCTCGTTCCTTTTATTAATCCCTGTTTAAAAAATTTCCTTTCTGATCATAACTCTTGGAACATATTTTTTATTTTTTTTTTAAGAAATAAAGTCTGGCTTTCTTGAGGCTGTCAATTGTACTACTTTCCCCTTTACTTGCTCTGCCAAAGTAGCTTACAATCAACACTGATTTTTGCAGTATAAAAGAGACTGTTGCTCAGCAGCCATCTATTCTTACCGGTGGAAAATTGAGAGAGTGAGTTGAATGTGCATTGTTAGATTTATGTATTTGGAAATATATATTTTTGGTGGTTGTGGAGGGGTAAAAGTTTGGATTTTTTCCTAAACTGTAAAATGGTGTTATTCAATAATAATTTTATAATTGTTGTATCCAATTTGAAATGATTGAGGAAGTGCTTTTCAATAACAGTATTTTTGATCTTCAGGTATCAAATGAATGGCTTAAGGTGGTTGGTATCACTATACAACAATCATTTGAATGGTATTCTGGCTGATGAAATGGGCCTAGGTAAAACTGTTCAGGTAGGGATTGATTCTCAATCTCCCCAGACTGATGGCAATTTGTTTCCTGTTTACACATCTAAACTCTATAACATGTTTGTTTGTAGGTAATTTCATTAATTTGTTACCTGATGGAAACAAAAAATGATCGAGGACCTTTTCTAGTGGTTGTGCCATCTTCAGTTTTACCTGGATGGGAGTCAGAAATTAACTTTTGGGCCCCTAGTATTCTTAGAATTGTCTATGCTGGCACCCCTGAGGAGAGACGTAGGCTATTCAAGTAATCACATAAAACCGAGCAGCTACCTCTTTTTATGTTTTACTTTAGGTATACAGTGGCTCAGGAGTTACTTTACATTGCAGGGAAAGGATAGTTCAACAGAAATTTAATGTCCTCCTTACGACATATGAGTATCTGATGAATAAGCATGACAGACCAAAACTAAGCAAAATACACTGGCATTATATAATAATTGATGAAGGTCACCGGATAAAGAATGCTTCCTGCAAGTTAAACGCCGAGCTGAAGCATTATCAGAGCTCTCACAGATTGCTGTTAACTGGAACTCCATTACAGGTTTCAGGCTTTTTTATCTTGTGCTCTTCTTTTGTTGTTGTTGGCACTCGTTCTGTGATGGTGTAGTGAATGTGTATTGTCTTTCCTTGGTTTGTGTATTAATGTGGTATCCTGATTACCTTTTATTTTTGTGTTTGATTAGAATAATCTCGAGGAGTTGTGGGCGCTACTAAACTTCTTGTTGCCTAATATTTTTAATTCGTCAGATGATTTTTCTCAGTGGTTCAACAAACCATTTGAAAGTAGTGGTGATAACTCAGCTGAACAAGTGAGCTTTGGAATATTGTATTTGAGTCATTGACATTCTCTATGACTCCTGTTGCATGAAAATCTTATAGTTATGTATTTGTTGTTTTCTTATGTTGATAAGGCCTTGCTGTCTGAGGAAGAAAATCTATTGGTCATAAACCGTCTTCATCAAGTACTTCGACCATTTGTCCTCCGGAGGCTGAAGCATAAGGTACCGAAAATGTGTTTTTGGCTTATTAATAGCATTTGCCATTCGAAACGTGTTTCTTTGGTACATATTGCCATATTGGGTTCATATGTCCTTCTGTGGATTTAGTATCACTATTATGATGTGTAGACATTCACCTCTCCCAGACCCTGCGTAAAGCGGGAGCCTTGTGCACTGGGTACGACCTTTTTTTTATTATGATGTGTAGACATACAGGCATCCATGTTAGGGGTTCTCCCATGTTTGTGGTTCTCTGGAGTTCTTTGTGTATCCATTTATGTTGGTGCTCCGGGCAAGGAAACTTTTTTGCCATCATAACTTTTGTAAATGACTTTGTGTCTTTTCCATGAGAATGTCACATGTCAGTCATTTTAGGAACTAGGGGCTCCTTAGTGCGCAGGACTAGACTGGTTTGACCTATTGTTTTGGGCTGGTCTGACTTGGATTGGACCCAGTTTAGTATTGTCTTATGTTTGTTCAGTGTTGGACTAAGAAACTAGAGAAATTTCTATATATTATCACCTTGTATTTTTCATATGATTGAGCTGTACTGCTATAGTTCTTAAGATTTAAATGACCATATATGTATCAACTAATGGTAACTTTCCAAATATAATGAAACATCTGAGGTAAGTAAATTAATTAAGATAAATTAAATGTCTTAGTAAATTGGACATAGATAAATAGTGTTAGTTTGTTTCTTCAATGAACTAGTTTTTATTATTTTTTTTAGGGAACAATGAACTCAGTTATATAAGTTCATTTATTTTATTCCAAGCCAACTTTTATCACCTGCATCCAGTTTATCCAGAAATTAATAATTCATCGGTCCAAGCCATACGTGTAAACTGCAGCCAGCTTTGTTCGTTGGCTTCCTTCATATGATAATAAAGCTTAGGTAACGTAGTCTGTGAATGTGAAAAATGCTGATTAAATGTTTCCCAACCCTACCAAAATAAGAAGACAGAATAAGTGGGTGCGATCCCCGCGTCTTCTGACTCTTCTCTGAAGTGGACCTGCCCTTTCTAGTCTAACTACCAAACATGTGATAATTTCTTAAATAAGCCAGCCAGCGTCTTTTCCGGGTTACATGTGTTTGTAAAGGATTTAGCTTGTTCATACTAGGAACGCGGAGATGGGCGCTGAACGAAAAAATCCTTGTTAATTTCCTTATTTTTGTCTAGAAGAAACGTATAGACTTAGCTGCTTAATTAGGATATGCAAATGTAAGTCGATCAGCAATTTAATGTTGCATGGTTGATGAGGTCCAATATGGCTTGACTCCTGGATATTTTATTAGGAAAACTAATGAAAAGGGCTTGAAAACTTTGAATTTTAATGATAAGGACAAAATAAAGGGTAAAGTGAATAGTATCAGGATTGACTTTTTAGTGTAAAAATGTGGTTTTTCGTTAAAGTGAACAGTACCGGGTGCTTTTCGTTAAAGTTCCCTATTTTATGGGTGCTTAGTGCCTTTACTGGTTAAATTTGAATTTTTATGGTGTTTGTTACATCGAGAAATTTTGGTATAAAATATATTGCTTCTGGGGTGTTGGCGACGTGTTATCGAAGTTTCTGTGTTATCGTTAACAAACCATTCAATTTATTAAACTTGAGTATGGAAAGTCACGATGTTAATGTTCTGGAATTTTAAATATTTCAGGTTGAGAATCAACTACCCGAAAAGATTGAGAGACTTGTAAGATGTGAGGCTTCTGCATATCAGAAGCTTCTAATGAAGAGGGTAGAAGACAATTTGGGTACAATTGGAAATTCTAAGGTATTTTAATTCTCACTTCCATTAGACAGGTGAATTCTAATCCGTATGTTATTATAATATCTGCATATTGGTTGCAGGCGCGGTCAGTGCACAACTCTGTTATGGAGCTTCGCAATATATGTAATCATCCATATCTCAGCCAGCTTCATGCAGAGGAGGTATGTTCTTTGCCTGTTCATTTTAAGTTCTAAATTGCTTTCCTAAAGATATTGAAAGGGGGAAGAAGCAGTTGTCGTTGTTACCTTATGCTCTCAAGGCTTTCCCTTGTTCTTCCTGAGTTCCCAATTAAGATAAACTGCTTTATCTTATTGCTTCTTGTAGGTTGATAACTTAATACCAAAGCATTATCTTCCCCCAGTTATAAGGCTTTGTGGGAAGCTTGAGATGCTAGATCGATTACTTCCCAAGCTAAAAGCTACAGATCATAGGGTATGGAAGGCTTTTTCCCGTTTCTAGCAACATGTTTTTTTCTGTTTAACTGTCATCTCATTCTTTAATATGTATTCATGTCTCTTTGGAATATTCTAGTATTTTGGTGTGATATCAGACTACAACTTAATGAAACTTGTCATTGTGCAGGTTCTTTTCTTTTCAACAATGACTAGGCTACTTGATGTTATGGAGGAATATCTTCACATTAAGCAATATCAGTACCTTAGGTTGGATGGACACACATCTGGGGGTGATCGCGGTGCCCTAATTGATATGTTCAACAAACCGGATTCTCCCTATTTTATATTTCTTCTTAGGTGATTCTTTATGGTTTGTGCAAATTATTATTTTTTGTATGCTTTTACCAGGTGGTTCAATAGTTACTGGAACCTTGGGTTCTAGGAGGTTTTAAGATAACCATCCCCCTCCCCCTATTTCCCGCTTTTATTGTTTTACCTGAGAAGTCATAAAGGGAGAGATTTAGGTTACACCTTACATGATAGCAAATGGAAACTATAAAAGCTTTGATGTGCTGTTCACATGTCTTGATGTTTGTCTGCATGTGCTGTTGTCTGTTATAATGGTACTGACATCCGTATGATTCTGATAGCATTCGGGCTGGTGGTGTTGGAGTAAATCTTCAAGCTGCAGATACAGTAATCATATTTGACACTGATTGGAATCCACAGGCAAATCATTGTTCATTAATTTAAATTACAAGTTTTAAACATACAATTCCAAGTCTCAAGTTTTTAGTTTTTTGGTTGGTAAATCTTCAGGTTGATTTGCAAGCACAGGCAAGGGCTCACAGAATCGGCCAGAAGAGGGAAGTACTTGTTCTTCGGTTTGAAACGGTAGACACTTTCCCCCTTGGTTATGTTTGAAGACAAAGTACATCTATAACTCTTCTGTTTATATCTTGAAATTAAATTGTTGCTACTTTAGAGTCTTATATCTAACAAATTGAATTTTTTCTTTTGCACAAGGTTCAAACTGTTGAAGAACAAGTCAGAGCTGCAGCTGAGCACAAGCTGGGAGTTGCGAATCAAAGCATTACTGCTGGTTTCTTTGACAACAATACAAGGTTAGTTGCCTATATACGTGCTCTGTTGAATACTTCTAAAGCTGTTTCTAAGTATTCCCGAAATTCTTTTACCACAGTGCTGAAGACCGAAGAGAATATTTGGAGTCCCTTTTGCGTGAGTGTAAGAAAGAAGAAGCTGCACCTGTATTAGATGATGATGCCTTAAATGATCTTTTAGCTCGCAGGTAGATAGTTTGATGATTTTGTTGTTTACCTTTCTGCCCCTTCTTTTATGCAACTGTTCATCTAAATAAGGTGGACGAGTTAGAACCATCATTCATGTTCCAGCTAAAGCATGCCCATCATTTTAGAGAAAAAATTTCCGTGCATGGGTTTCTTGAAAAGATTGAGCCACTGTAGACTATGGTACCTAATTATATTCTTTTGACTTTGTTGGCATTTAATGTTTGTCATAAAGCAATCATGAGTGTGCCCCCCTATTTTTTATTTTTTCTTTCCTGGTAGTATTATCTACAAACTGAGAAGCGGTGGAAATTTCGCAATCACAAGTCATTGTTGGAATTTATTACTGATTAAATTGCAAAACCATTGTTCTCCTGTCTGATTTTGTTTGTCACTGGTTTAACTGTCATTATAACATTCATTTGTTTGAAAAGCTACTCCCCCTTCAAATGAGGCAAAATTTATTTACTTATTTGTTGTTTTTCTTTTGCTTGATTTTTTGTTTGAAGTAGATATCAATGATTTTCCCTTTTCTTGTAGTGAGCCAGAAATTGATGTTTTTGAATCAGTTGACAGAAGAAGGCGAGAAGAAGAGATGGTATCCACTTAATCATTTGCTGTCAATGCTTTCTATCTCTTTGGTTTTACTTTGTACAAGTATCCTTGTATATTATCAAAAGCTATCTGCTTCTCTTAAGTGGCAGCTTTATAAAAAATTTAATTTTGCAGGCAACATGGAAAAAGTTGGTATGTGTAAAAAGCATGGATAGTTCAGAGACCCTACTTCCCTTGCCTTCTCGCCTTGTTACAGATGATGACTTGAAGGAGTTCTGTGAAGCAATGAAGGTATATGAGGTTCCAAAAACTGGTGAAAAGTCTAATGATGGGTTAAAGCGGAAGGGTGGATCTCTCGGGGGCCTTGATACTCAACGTTATGGCCGGGGGAAACGGGCAAGAGAGGTTTGTTTGTCAAATTGGATTATAGTAGCATAAATGTTTCCTCTATATCCTTGTGTTTCTTATACCACAAAACTTGATAGTTGAGTATGAACCCTTTTCTTTGAATGCTTTTTAGGTGCGTTCGTATGAAGAGCAATGGACAGAAGAGGAATTTGAAAAGTTATGTCAAGCCGAATCACCGGATTCCCCTACAAAACCAAAAGAAGAAGTTACTGAGTCAAACATGCCAAAAGATGACAGTGGGTCTGTGGTGGCTGTTTGTGAAACAGAACTTCCTGCTCCACTCCCACCACACATATTGTCACCCTCAGTGGAGCTTTCCCAGATGCAGCAAAGTAAAGAGGTTACCCCACCAGCTAAACGAGGCCGTGGAAGGCCAAAAAGAGCAACATTAAATCAATCACCAGCTGCAATGGTTCTTACAGCACCTTCTGGAACTAATAAAGTGGATACTGGGTTGCAAAGAGGGATGACATCTAGCCCTGCCACAAACTCGGGCCCTGATTCAGCACCTACTTCTGCTAATGCACAGAATATTGGTGGAATTGTACAACATACTAGTATTGTGGCCTCACCTAATTCTCAGCCAATTGCTCCTAAACCTTCTGTTACTCCTGATTCTCAGACGACCACTATTAGCCCTTCTCCATCAACACAATCAAGAGGAAGAGGTCGGAAGGCTCAAAGTGGACCAGAAGTACCCAGGCGTAGGGGAAGGAAACAGGCGCCAATATCACCTGGTGTTGGTGGAGTATCTGGTCTTGATCCAAAACAAAATGAAGCATCACAGAACATATCTGTGAATCCACTAGAAAATCAAGCCATTGGCATGAGTGGAACTGTTTCTAGTACTTCCGCAGTCCAACAACCTGAGTCTTTTTCTGGTTCTGCTCCTTTACAAGGTGTGAATGGGGCTGATCATCAAGTTGGTGATGTTGTAGCTTTGAGTTCTCAGCCAGCCCTTTCTTCTCCATCTGTTGCTCCTTTGTCTCAGTCTTCTCCTTCCCCTTCTGTACCCGAGCAAATGAAAGGGCAAGACCGGAAGGTTCAAGGTGGTGTAGGGGCACCGCGACGTAGGGGAAAGAAACAGGCGCCAATATCACCTGCTGTTACTGATGTGTTAGTTGGTCAAGATTTGAAACCCAATCTGCAACCACAGGATAAACCTGGGGATTCATCTGGAAGCAAAGACATTGCCATGCAAAGTAAGCAAGAGGCTGATGGTTTAGCTGGTCAGGATCTGAACTTAACCGAAGAGTCGGTAAATTTGGCCCAAGCCAAGCAGATAACTAGCTCAACAATGATGCATGATACATCCGTCAGATCTCTTGGTAAATACTTTCATTTATGCATGCCTGAAAAAAAATTTACAACTGAAATCATGATTATGTTTTCCTCACATGAATTAATTTAACATTTGACAGGTCCTGCTTTGGGAGAAAGTCAAAATGTTGTCGCATGCAATTCTTCTGTTACAGTGAATGAAGGTGCTGCAGCACCAGCTATTCCAACTCCCTTAACTGCACCTCCATGTACTCCTTTAATTGAATCCTTTCCCAAATCAACTTCCGTGGAAAACACCGGTGAGGCGAAATATGATGTTGCTAAGACTGCTCCTAGCTCTCAGTCAATGCCTTCCAACCCTTCTGCTCCTCTAGCTTCTCAATCTCTCACTCCTTGCTCTTCTGAAACAGTACAAGTCAAAAGACAAGGTCGAAAGACTTCAAACAGAGCCGAAGCACCTCGTCGTAGGGGAAGGAAGCAGGCTCCGGTGTTACCATCTGTTTCTGATGGTCCAGCTGGTCAGAATCCAAACTTAAGTTTACAATCACAGAATGCATCTGCTGATACATACGGGAGTAAGTCTGCTGCACTGAGAAGTAAGCAAGGTACTGATGGACAGGAGTTGACAAAAGTTACTCAGGACCAGGCAAGTCAAGCACATTTAGCGGGTCATGATCCAAAGAGAAAAGAGCAGCCAGTCTTTTCAACCCACAATAAGCAGCCTGCAAATTCATCATCAACGCTTGATGTTCCTCCAGGATTCCCTGATAAGAGTTCTGCTTTGGGCCGTATCCAGACTGCTGATGTAAGTGATGTTGCTCGTGTGATGAAGGAGGTCTTTTCTGGGACACGTTTGTCAAAACCTAAAATTCCCGAGTCATCTGGGAGAGAGGGTAGGGTTGTCCCTTGTGTACCTGTATCAAGCAAGGCTCCTGTGGAATTAGCCAAAAACCAATGTTTGGAGGATAAGGCATCTCCAACTGTGTCAACTTTGGAAACAGCAGCCCATCTACTTGACCTCCCAGCGAATTACGAAAAGCAATCTGGGACTGGTGTTAGTGCAGAAGGGGAGAGGGACAAACCACCTGCTTTGAATGAAACCCATGTTCCCATCACAAATATGGAGCAAGACTCGACAGCTGTAGGTTCCACTAAAGAAATGGAAGACTCAAAACAACTCTGTGTTGATGGTTCAACTATGGAGAGTAAAACAGAGACTGTTGTTCAGACATTGTCTCGAGATGTTGATGTGCCTGATTCTAGTATTGGGTCCTCTGGGGGTGAGATGAATTCATCTTTGGTATTTCAAAGTAATAGTGAGCACCTTCTGGTGATTGGGAGTGATTCCGGAAAGAAAATTGAATCTTTTTCAGGAGAGTCTCATAAATCCTCTGCTGTTGAGCACCCTTCAATTTCCAAGGACACTGATAATGCTAGTCTTCATCTTGTTGTTACACCTCCTGTTCCTGGGGTCCCAGTTGAGTCAAGTGAGGTGGGCCTTCCTGCTGTGGTTGATTCTGAAAACAAAATAGGGAGTTATGCTAAGGAGAATCCAATATCTCCTTGTATTACCAAGGATGCTGGCCATCATTCTGAAGACCCTTCACCTATTACTTCAAGTCCAGATCATTCAGCAGACAAATCAGAACATTCTTCAAAAGAGTCCCAAGAATCTTCCCCCCATGATAGAAAAACCATTCTATTCATGTCATCTGAAAATGTTTGTCCTGGAGGAAGTGCACCCTTGTCTGTGGGTTTAGAGGATGTAGTGCCTCCTGTTATGGCTGAAGATGACCCTGGAAGAAAGAATAAGCCTGCTTCAGAAGGTTGCGCACAAAACTCTCCTCTGAGCCATGATAATTCCACAATTATTCCGGCAATGCTAAATCTTGATTCTGGAGGGGGTTCTCTTGACAAAGTTGACATGCCTTTTACAGAATCTGAAGTTGTTAATTGTTCTGGTGAAGGTGTTTGTTTAAATTCAGAAATTTCATCCAAGATTGATGATTCTGAAGCTTCTCATGAATCAAGTGGTGGCGATTCAGGGCGTAATACCACTTTGCATGTAATTCCTTCTGAAAAGGGCATCTTGGAACTTGGAACTGAAATGACTGGGGATGGTAGTATTGATGTTTGCAATATGGAAGTGGACCCTGCTGAGGGTGCTCAAATGGATATTTCTCATGCTGGTAGTTGTCCACCTGAAAAAGTATTGGATACGGTTTTACCCTCATCTTCATTGGTAGTGGTGGGAGAAATTCATGAATCATCTGATAGAGCTCAAGTTGGCAGCTACAAGGCACAAGAGAACCCAAAAGTTTCTAGTCCTGCCTTGGTTGTTTCTCAGGATGGTATATTTGTATCAGAAGATAAATCAGAAGTCTTGCCGTCATCTTCCATAGGGGAAGCGGAAACAGTGGAGGGCTCATCTGTGAAACGCCAAAGTAGCAGCTCACAATCTCTAGTGGAACAGAATCACGCTGTCACTGAAATGGATGTTAAATCGCCACAACATATCTCTGAAAAAATTGATGTTTCTTCATCTTTAAACACACACAAAGAAAAGATTGAGGGTTCATCTGAGAAGAGGCCAAGTTGCAGCTCAGTACTACTGGAAGACACAAAAGGTTCTGAAGGTTTAACAGTTGTTCAAATGGATTTCTCTCAGGTTCATGGAACTGTGCAAGAGAATATTGTATCAGAAGGTATGACTGAGGAGGGGACGACTAAGGACATATGTAAGACCAATCAAGTTTGCAGCTCATTACCTATGGAGGAACCAGAAGTTTCTAGAGCCAAAAGAGACGCTCTAAATGATTCATCTCAGATTGATGGGAATCTACCGGAAATGAGTGTGACTGGAAACTTAGATTCTCCTCTATCTTTAGTGACAGAGGAAGGAAATACTGATATATCTGGAAAGTTTCCAGTCGGCAGTCCAGTACCAGTGGAAGAAGAAAAGATTGATGGAACGTCTGTGAAACATTTCGGTGGGAGTTCAGACTTATTAGGAGAACCGAAAGGATCTGACACTGAAGTGGATGTTTCTCTGGTTAGTGAGCTGAAGCCCGAAAATATATCAGAAAGTGATATTCTGTCTTCATCTTCTGTTGTAATTAAGGAAGGAAAGGTTGAGTGCTTATCTGAGAGCGGTCCAGCCAGATCAATAGTGCTGGGGGATGCATCTGAAGCTTTAGTTTCTGATAAAATGGTTGTCTCTGAGGTTGACACATTTGTGCCCGAAAGGATGCTAGAAGATATGCCTTTATCTACCTTGACAAAAGAGCATGGAAGTACTGAGGGCTCTTCCGAGAAGGGTCAAGATGGCAGCAGCTCAGTACAACTTGAGGAATCAACTGGAAAGGAAGATGAAATGGATCATCCAAAGGAAACACCCAGATATTCTGGGGATTTGCTTGTAAAAGAAAGTGTTGATTCAGAAGAGGAGGTTCAACGGTTATCCAAGAAGGAAGCTGTAAGCAGCTCAGCGCAGCTGTTGGAATCAATGGTTTCTGAACCTGAAACGGGTGATCATTCCGATGCATCCAAGGTTCGTTGCACTCATTGGGAACTAAGATGAACAATTTTTATCAAAATTTTATTTTTTCAAATAAATAGGTCTGTACCTTAATGTTGGAACCTACAAGAGTGAACCTCCTCCCCGTCACCCAACAAAGCCAAACCTCTCTTATCTCAGAACTTCCTACTAAACAGAATTATAAACTGTAATATCTCGAAGTATATAACAATTACTTATGAAATTCAAATGCACATGAATGTCCACAGACAATCACAAAGTTGGTTTATTGCTATTAATTTCATTACTAATGTATAATGTCATGTGTATGACTCAGGTTGGCATGGTACCACTAGAAGATACAATGGCGGAGGACGTTGACCTGCCTGCATCCTCGATAGAGACTGAAGGAAAAGGTATAGATCGTCCATCTGAGTTTCTAGATGGCAGCTCAGTGATGGAGGGTCCAAAAACACCTGTAGCTGACGAGGATGCTCAGGTGAATGCTCCTGATGCTTGTGAGAGGGAGCCAGAAGTTGTGTCTGAATCTGTGGATATGCCTCCGGTTACCTCGACCATGGTGGATGATGATGTCAAAGGTTCATCAGAAGCAGTTCCCATAGTCAGCTCCAAAGCACCAGAGATGTTGGAATCTGAAGCTAAAATATTTGAGAGTGTTGAATGCTTATCTGAGGCAAGGCCCGTGGGCAGCTCTGAATCACCAGAGTCAAAATCCGAAGCTAAAGTTGCTGACGCACCGGAGGAGTCAAAATCGGAAGCTAAAGTTGCTGATGCTTCTCAGGTTTCTGAGACAATGCCAGAACTTGCATCTGAAAATGCAGATCAGCCTCCAGTTAACATGGCCGTGGAGGGTGACAATATTGAAGGCTTATCGGAGGCAGGGCCAGTGGGCATCTCGGAACCACCAGAGGAGTCAAAATCTGAAGCCAAAGTTGGCGATGCTGCTCCCGTTTGTGGGACAATGCCAGAAAATGCATCCCGAAGACATGGATATTGAGCCATCGGAGGGTGAAAATGTGGGGCTACCAGCTGAGGGACCTGTTGGTGATAACTCAATGGAACAGCCTTGAAGTAAACTAACTGCCTGACTAGAGAGTTTGAGTAGAGCTTGTTGGAGCATAAAAAACACCTGAACTAACTATTCAGTAAATTATAGTTTGCTGCCCTTTGTAAAGGGAATTAGGTTCCTAATTAATATTTATGTAGATAAAAGTATTCATATATGACTTATTTTTGTGGAAAAAGCTCCTTCTGGGTTTGCTGCTTTATCATTGGGTTTCGAACGCGCGCTTTGCTTGTTGGTCATTACGATTCCGTCTGGTAACCTTTTACAAACCCATTTTTGAAGAATTGTATTGCAAAACCAAGAGAGAAATCGGATTTTGCATTTTTATATGATCAGAAAATACGCCCCCAACTTGCAACAAACAGAAAGGCACAAATACTTTCGTCTTCTATATTATTGGCTGCATTCATTTTAAATTTCAATTGCCTCCAGAATTGCCTCATGCATGTGGGGAGGATGAGGGTCGAGTTGTGATGGAGTTATTTGCTGATAAAAAAACCCGAAAATGCTTAAAATATGTGCTCTTTGTACTAAAGACTTTAAGGGCTCCATATTTCACCGCATTGTTCCTAATTTCATGTATCAAGGTGGAGATTTTTCAAGAGGCAATGGGATTGGATGAGAGTCGATTTATGGGGCGACATTTGCAGATGAGAACTTCCGCTTGAAGCATACCGACCCTGGAATATTGTCCATAGCAAATTCTAGACCTAATACTAATGGTTCACAGTTCTTATTTGCACTGCAATGACACTGTGGCTTGACGGAAAGCACGTTGTGTTCGGAAAAATTGTTGATGGATACAATGTTGTTGAGAAAATGGAGGTGGGTTTGGAGAGTGGGACTACTTCTGAGCTATGATCGAAGATTGCGGCTAGATAAAAGATGAGTGTTGATGTTTGAATAGTTGGGTGAAGCTTCAAGTAACATGTAGTAAGTTTCAGATAAAACATGGGCGGACAATAGAAGAAAATTAAGTAATTGATGTAGAAAGTTAAGAAATTGAAGAGATACAGAGAGAATTTGATGAGTATCGAAGAAAATTAGAAGAAGAAAATGTGTTTGGAAGGTGAGAATGTGCCAAGCAAATTCAAGAAAAGGAGAGAGAAGAAGGTATTACCGTTAAGTTTCATAAATAGTGTAGGAAGTTTTATAAACAATGTGGTAAGTTTCATAAACAGTGTAGTAAGTTTCATAAACAGTATAGTACCGTTAAATTTCATAAACAGTGTAGTACCGTTAAGTTTCATAAATAATATAAAAAGTTTGTAGTACCGTTAAGTTTCATAAACAGTATAAAAAGTTTCATAAACAAATTGTGTGAGGACGTGTGGGTCCGTGCGTCAGTTTTTTTTTAATATTAAAATTATGTCTTTTTCATTAAAATTTAAGTTCTTTTGTCATTTTTATTAAAATTTAAGGGTTTTTCATTAAAATTTAAGTCTTTTTAATTAAATAAAGTTATAGTATGGTTTTTTTTATTAAAATAAATTTAGCCCAAGCTTTTTTCATGAAAGTTCCCATTTAAATAAGCAACTTAATGTACCATCCTCATATTCAATTTTGTTTATTTTATTTCTTTTAACGTAGAATTCCCAAAAGGTTTTCTCTGTAACCAAGACCGTCGAATAATAGATTTTCCATTGAATAACGATTTTCTCCATTATAATATTTATATTTATTTACATTATTACTTAAATAGTGAATTTTAAATTAAAAAAAAAAAAAAAGACTAGTAGGCTACTGATATAAAGCATGCAATGCATATAATGAATAATATATATGTATATATATATATATATATATATATATATATAAATTTTAGAGGGGTGGGCTAAGCCTCACAATGGCTAACAATAATGTGGCATTTGACGAGAATCGAACTTAAGACCTCTCACTTACAAGTGAAGTAGAATACTACTAAATCATACAACTGATACTATGCATATAATAAATAACATTAAAAAAGAGATTACTAATATTTAAACAACACATCATTAATACAACTGATACAATGCATATAATAAATAATATTAAATATTTGTACCAATGATAATGCATATAATTACTAGGACGGACTTCCATATTTAATAATCCGTGATTATTGATGACTTGTTTCTCCATATAATAATTTTTTTATTATTATTAAAAATGTAAACGGTTTGGATTCTGGGATGCCCCAAATAACCATAGCCAAATTCAAAATCGAGAAATTTACCTAACAGTTACCCATAACTGTAAAATACTCAATATTTAATCTTCAAAATCAAACAGTTCGGACCGGTTACCTGTAGAGATCAAGTTTGACGGGTTAAATATCTACAGTGTTGATTGTGGCTTCATGAAGATATTTCGAGGAATATAATTGAACTCTTCAATGTCGCCTTTTTTTTTTTTTGGGTCAAACGATAGATTTGTTAGATTAGATGTTAGACTAGGGAATCGATGGGGTTCGAACCCATGCCAGGAGTGCAAGGACCACACTCCTCTCCACCACTATGGTAGAGGACCACTTGCCTTCAATATTTCTTTCAAATCAAGAGTTCTAAAAACTTATCTATTATGGCCACTTAACACTACAATTTAATGATATTCCTCTTCACTTGTAAGTAAGAGGTCTTAGGTTCGATCCTCACCAAAGATAAATTTGAACCAAATTATTGCTAGCCCATTGTGAGGCTAAGCCCATATCTTCTTTTTTAATATAGATAATATTGTTTGTTTAATTTTTTTTTTTATATCTATTATGTTGTTAAAAAAAAACTTAACTATTATGGTGGTGTCCTCCATAAATAATGGTGTGCTGAACAAAGAGGGTGAAATGACTAATGTACCTTTTTGTGTTCGTTAAGTTTCTCTCTCTCATAACATCCATCATCACATGCACAACATGTGTAGAAATTTCAAGGCAGCAAAGGGTGGATTTCCAACCAATCCGAGCTTCACCAATATTTGCCATGCTTCATCTCTTTCAGCAACAAGTGAAGGTTCTGCGACCCTCCTTCGGGTTGCTGCCATTAATCATATTGCTCCGCTACGAATAACTGCATCCACCACCTCGTACAACCTCATCCCCGTCCCTTTTCTGCAGGCATTTCGGAATCACATCTCACTTGAGATCGCATGTGGCTCTATTGCAATTTTCATTTGGTTTGTAACTTTGAGTTTTTGATTTAGAGCATTTTAATGAGCTCCTAACCAAAACAAGAGTGAAATAATTTCTCTTATCATAAATCTTTTACAAGGCTACAGGAAATAAATTCAAGCCTCCTTTTTAATTCAAGATCATCCGGCCTACCCTCTTGAATTGCCTGGTTTGTATACCAGCAAAATTTGATTAGGATGAGCTTAAAAAGCTAGTAGGGTCATTACACCTTTATATATACAAAAGTATATCATCACTATGTAATCAAAACGCATCTATAGATGATACTAGCAAGAGTGCCCGCGCGATGCCGCGGGTTTTGAAACTGTACAAAATATGTAGAAAGTTATAATGTGTATATATACTATTTGCATACATGTGAAATCTATTTACAATCGTAAAAAAAGATTTCAACTTCGACATAACAAAAATAGTTTGCGGAAATCTTAGCAAGAAACAACTATATACATGAAGGGATCCCCTATAATGAATAGTTTGCACAACCCTAGATGATATAGCAAGAAATGAAGAACAAAAAACCTTTCCTTCTGTAAAAATGAAAGTAGTAATAACAACATTAGTTCTAGACATAATTAAAGTGTCGAATATAGGAGCATACTTATTAGCTATTGGATTATACCTCATCAATGACAAACAGCCAATTTCCGCACCATTTTTCTAGAGCTTCATAGTTGGCATAGTCTGGAGCTACGTAACAAATCTCTCCACTTCTTTGAGATAGTTTCGAACAATCTGTGGTTCCCATGGGACACCTTTGCTTAACATCTCAATGCCAAATCATCAGGAAATCCAAGAATAAGACATTGATGCAAAGATTCTCTATATTCCAAAAGATTGTTAAATAAAACCAACCACATACTCGAAACCAAAAAAGAGAAAAACTACATGCGTATAGAGCTATAGATAAGATAAAATTCAGTTCTTTGCGAAACCAAAAAAAATGAAATAAAAATAAAACCCAACGAAATAAAAGATGAGTATATGCAGTAATAGTCATATAGGAGTGAGTTCATCAGTTGTAATTTGGTATTTCAAATTGGCTCATTCATCATTGCTATAAAATTTCAATCATGGCATTCCCATTAAATTTCAATTTTGAAGTAACAACTCCACATTCCCCAAACGATTAAACCAAAACGCAACAAACTCACACCAAATTTTTCATTTTTTTCCGCATCTTTCAACACAATAAACACATTATGGACTGTTCATATCAACACGGATGGTATGATTATATTTAAAAGATAGCAAATTAGTAAAAAATAATAATCAAAACTTGGGAATTATGGTTGTTTAATTGTACCTAAGCTGCGGTAGTCCTTGTTGGTGTTGTGGTTGTTGGTGTTAATCAGCCTTTTAGGGAGTAGAAGACCTTCAATTATAGAGCAATACAGAACTTGGAATTAAATTTCAATTTCTCTGTGCACAGGACAGTTTAAAGTTTAAAGATTAAAATTCTACACACTTTCTAGCCCTAAATTTTCCCGGGAAACAAACGGAAAGTGATAGAAGTCATACCTAGTCCGCGAGAGCAGACGCGATCGGCGAGTTTGGCGGATCATGCTGGCAGAGATGTCTGGTGAGAAAAGGAAAGCAAACAGGGGCAAACACCCTATGTTGCATGGGTTGACTAAAATTGGGTACGGCTAAAAACCCAGAATTCAATCATTGAGAAAACATCAACAACCAAAATCACACCAAAATTCATAAAATTCAAAAAAAAATATATGGGTTTTATTTATCGGGTAGCGAATGAGTAAAAATACCACGAATGGTGCTGAGGACTAAATCAAACAATAGTAAAATTAAACCCTACTTTATTTATTTTTTTCAATTCGAAAAAAGGAAGATGGTAATGATTTTTCTTCACAAACCTTTCTAACCCCATGAAGGGCGCTCCTGTCAAGTCCTTCAGTGAACATATCTCTTCTGGGTTCTTCCTTTACCTGCACAAAAAGTCAAAAAATTAAAAACCCACAAACCAAAAACTGAAAAAAAAAAAAATCAACTTTTTTTCTCCAGAGATCTTGACAAAGAAGATTGGAGAGAAAACTGAAGAGATCTCCACTGTGTTCCTAAGAGAGAGGTCGAAACGAAGGAGACGTTGTCTAACGGATGAAGAGGAAAGAGGGAGGAACCTGGAGAATAAGGGAAGAACAGCGCATTGTTTCTATTGTTCCAGAAAAAAGATCTGCACAAATTTTGACTGGTTATGTCGTTTTTAGCAAGAAAGTGAGAGAGAAAACTTCATCGAAAGAACTCGAGAACGGCGATGGGAGGGGATGCCCTTTCTGAGATTAGCGAATGGAAAAGCAAATGGGTTTTTCCACTGCTTTCGTCGGCTTTCCACCACTTTTCTTTCCACGATGACCAACACGTGTAGACGTGGAGCTGAGAAAAAAAAAAGCGATTGCAGGAAAAGGAAGGCAGAGAATGAAACAGCAGAGAAATCCAACAGGAAAGGCCATTGATGAAGAACGCGTGGCCAGCCAGGACAAAGTGGTCATTTCACTGTGTAAAAGAGGCAGCACAACGGGGGATCAAGAAGAAACCGAGGGGCACATTCGTCAAATCACTGTTAATGAACAGTGTTCAGAAACTGAGTTTTAGTATATATAATGTATGAATGCACAACAACCATTCTTTCAAACTCTTTGTCTCAAACCCAATATACCACATCTCCTTTTTGCTAGTACTCTTGAATAACTCCTTATTGCCAGTCCCAAATATTACCCTGATTTAATGGGCACTTTGGGGCTAACATGAGACCTAGTACTTGCCAAGAATTAGACTCAACTACACAACAGTCTTCATCATTACCCATTTCCCTTTCTCCTTCACAAGATTCTCAACTCAAGATAATCAGTTCAGTGTTTGACAAATGAATGAAAAACATGCGTATCAATCCATCCAAGTGGTCTTATACGCAATGCGTTTGTAAATCAAGTGGTCTTTTATATAATAGCTAGTAGTAGATAAAGAGTTGGAACACCAACTCAAAAATCAGTTCTTTCAATTTGTCTCAACAAAGACCTACTGATAGGAGCATATTTATGCGCCTTAGTTAGCTAGTTCTTATACATTTTCGTTATGTTTTCTTCGTTAAAGTAGTCTTTTGAGCTACTTTCATGTGTTTTCAGGTTTAAAGGGCACATTACAAAAAATGATGCAATTCGGAGCTTTTGGAGCAAAAAGTGAGCTGGAATGTTGTGTATGCTTATGGAGCACAAGGAATGGACGAGTTTGAAGGTCAAGGGAGTTTAAGAAATGAAGAAATGAGAGTGAAGAACAACGAAGTCGGATTTGGCAACTAAAGTTTCTAAAGTTGGAAGTTTCTATTCTTGGAGGTTTCCGTATTTGTGAGTTTCTATTCTTGGCGATGGGCTTTTGAATGACCTATCCTTACCTCTTGGACTTGAGCCGCACTTCCTAGCCATTCTCTCTTAAATTCTGACTTAATAGGGCCTTTAGTTGTGGATTTGGGTTATACAAATCCCTGTCTAAAACTAAGTGGACCTAAGCCCTAATTCTTTGTGGATATTCACCATATGCCGCACCTAAACCCTAGCCCATTTCCAAATCTGATCTCCCTAATCCTATGCCGCACCTAGGGTTTTAAATACCTGATTTCCTTGCCTTGCAAGGCATTCTAGAAGCCTTAACCTTAGCCCACTAAACCAGCCGAACCCTAGGCCTCTTCCCATGCAAAATCTGATTGTTCTAACCTATTTTCTGTTGGATTTGGGCTTCTAGAAACCCAAATCTGATTGCTAGGGTTTTTAAGTGCCTATATATACTCCTTTAAAGCTTTTGGCCGAATATACCACCTCCCATATCATCCATTCTCTCCAGAAATCTACCCTAAGCCTTGCCGCAACCACCACATCATTCTCCCTAGGTCTAAGTCTCTGCCGTGCCCCCTAATCCCCTTAACCCTTCTACCCTATTCAAATAACCATTCATCCACCACAGCTGCACTTTTCCACCACCATCACCACCTCGTGCAGCCACCATTGAAGGAGAAAGAAGTAGTGCCGTGCAGTCCAAAGGAGGGAGAAACCTTGCACATGCAATCTGCCATTAGTGGAGTGTTTGGAGTTCTTTCTTCTCTTGTTTCTGTTTTCATGTTTAATTTAATTTGCTTTTCAATTATGTTAAACATGTGGAACTAATTTCTTTTTAGTTAGAGGCGAATTTGAAGCCATGGACATATGTTGGTTATGATTTGATTTACTCCAGTTATGAATTCATGAACTTTAGATGTGGTTTACTTTTCTGTTTTGATTAAGAACTTGTCTATGTATGTGGGTTGAGGGTCGACACTTAATTTGCATGCCTAAATTTGATGCTAGGATATAAGAGAATTTCACCTAATCGTTATGAACTTATATTCATGAGTAGTAAAGATCGCTAGTCACGATTGTGTTTAAGTAAACCCTAGGCTGGATTAACATGCGTATTCCATAGTTATGAATGCCTAGTTGATGTTCATGATTTCCGTTGAACTTAATGATCTTTGTTGAATATCTCTATCATGCGTATTCCATAGTTAGGGACTTTGATGAGGAATAATTTGGTTTTAATGCGTATCCCATTCAATCCAATGAATCTAGGGAAATCTGAAAGTTAATTTAAGCGAACCTAATTAACTTGGAGCATTGTCATTCATTGTTTGTTGAAGTCATAACTGGGAATCAAATTATATGCATATGTTCATGTGTGGATAAGGAACCCTCTAACTAGTTTCTCACCATTCTATTTCATCACAATCTGTTTTGTTTGAAGTTTGTTTACAAGTCTCTGTTTTAATTTCAATTTCGTCAAAATCAATCCCCCATTTATTTTAAAGTGTTAGATTAGTTAGAAATCAATTTAGTTTGTGTTTCTAAGTGTCTTGAGTCAAGTTTTAGTCCAATTTCGTCCAAATTAGTGTTAGGTACTCAAAACTGCCCAGAAAGTGGTTTTAAGGCAGTTTTGAGTTTTTTAGTTGCTGTTTTGAGTTTTTGGTTGATTTAAGTGTTTTAAACTCTAGTTTTGCATTAATTGAGTCTAGTTTAGTGTTCTACATTATGTTTTTATGTTCTTGAGTCAGTTTCACATTGATTAGCATCCCTAGTTAATCCCCGGTTTAGAACGATCCATATTTGCTCATATACTACAATTGTCATCCATAGGGTTTAATTTGTGTGTCAAGTTAATTTTCACATCACCTACCTCATATATCAAAGGGATGAGGTTGATCACTAACTCAAAGATAAACATCTACTTAACTTGATCCTTACTCCAACCAAATGGGATCATTCAATTACCAACTTTGCAGCATGACCATGGTAACCAATTTTAACATGCGAAATGTTTGGTATGATAATCGGTATACTATTTTTGGTTCGGTAATCGTACCAAACACAGTCCTACTATTATACATCTTTAGTTAGTAGTTTACAAGGAATTTGTAGCTTATACGGTTAAGTGCATTCGCCATTGCACTCGAAATAATGAGTTCGATTTCCCGCTTTCCATATTAGCACATTTTCATTATTCGGGCTCACTTTGACCCAAATCTGCGAGTTTTGGTTAAAGCTTTAAAATTGAAATCGTACTTGACCTGAAATAATCTATATGCTCAAAACGACCCAACTCGGACCAGAGCTCAACTCCAAGAGCTGGGCCGGGCCCGGGCATTGATAATCCCTATGCCCTAATTGATGAGTGTCCTTTTTAGTAATTTCCACAGAGGCTAGAATTGTAATTCCATGGTAGGTCATTGAAGTTCAATCCTAACGTTTCCCTTTCTTAGAGCGAAATGCAGTTCTTCACAAACACAACAATGGGAAGACCAAGGGGCAAATCGAAAATCCAATGAATATAAATCCCCCTCAATTTGAAATAAATTACAACTCTAATTACCAATAAACCCAAGAGACTGAATGAGTGGCATTAGAGAAATAAGCCGAAGTATCAGAGGTCTTCTTCTTCCCCACTTCTGAAAGCCCCAGGTCCGTCCGGACTCCTGTCTCCCAAATCCAGCCCTGTGATTTCTCAGCCAAAACAAACGAGTAAGCGCTTCTTTTTCAAAACCCCCCTTTTTTTTTTTGAATTCGTTTTACCATTTAATCACTTTCTGGGGTTTTCCCAAAGTTGTTCAAGCTTCCATCTTTAGCTTGAAGAGCGATGTTTGACTCTGTTTGTTCGTTGTATTATATTACGCATACTTTTTGGGGTTTATTTTTACGATTCAAATATGCCAACAAATTACAGTAATTTTTCAAAATTTTCAAACTTTTTTAGTTTTTGGGTGAAATTAGGGTTATACCTCCCCATTTTACCAAATTTTACAAGGGTTTTGGTTTTTGGACTGTGATGTTATGGGTGTTTTTGGGGCTGGATTGCATGTGGATTAAGGCTTCTATGTTGGACCGGTTGGTATAATGTGTTTGGTTTATAAAGTGAATTGTGCTCTAGGACCAAAAGAAAATAAGTTTTTTTATTTTTTATTTTTATTTTTTAAATTTGCAAATGAATTCATTTGTGAATGGAATTTAATGTTTAGGACAGAGTTCAATGTTTATAATTCTCTAATTTAAACTTACAAGTCGTAATTGCTGCAGGTTAGTATAAGACCAATCCTTCCAGTTGGACCAAGTTTTCTCTATTGTGCCGGCTGTATACAATCGCCCGCTGTACAGATTTGTACTTGTTCGGGTTGAGGTAATACACAATTGTCTCAGTTTGAGAGGAATTTTGAAAATTCTCACAATTCATGAATTTGAGAATGAACTCTGCACAGTTTTAGCTTTCGAAATATGAGGAAAAATACTTGGAATTGAAATTCTATAAATTCAAGGATTTCATTTGGGTTCCAAAGGGACTGTTGCATAGGGGACTGTGTGAGATAAGTTGCTGTGTCTAGCTCTGGGAAATGGGATATTTTATTGTGAACTTCGTGTTCTTATTTCTTCCTTTGTTTTAATTCGTATTGTGTTATTATTTTATGGTTTTCCTGAGAAAGCAATTCATTGTTTGCGGTTTTCTATATTTATTTTTTGAACTTTGGTTTCCTGTTTTTCATTAATTATTTTGAATCTGGTTCTGGGCGGCTTATGGAGTTAGTTGAGTTGTTTTCTGATATGTGATGATAATATTTGCACCGGTTATTTGCTTATTACTCAAATTTGGTTTTGTTTTTCACACCTCATCTTTTTAAGTTTCACCACATAAGTGCTTAGTGATTTACTATTATACTGAAAAATGCATTTTCCATTACCTTTCTTTAGTTTGAATATCAACTTAATAAGTAACACTGGAGGTAAAATGTTGCACACTTGTAGTCGCTTACACCTTGTTTGTTTTTCTCTATGTTGATTAAGGGCTTCAGGGTTCAACTGGATGTGACTTGTGCTATTGAAAAGTTCGGAATTCAAACTTGGCTTCATTTCATTAAAGAAGCATGCTTTTGGGGTTATAATGTTTCCTGTTGCTTTATGCACTATTAAATCAGCTTAAGTCAACTCAGGTTCTCCATATTAGTGATGGATTGCAATAAGGAAGAGGCCATTAGGGCCAAGGTGATTGCTGAGAAGAAGATGCAGAGCAAGGATTTCGTGGGGGCTCGTAAGATTGCTATAAAGGCGCAACAACTCTATCCTGATCTGGAGAATGCATCTCAGATGCTTATGGTTTGTGATGTGCATTGCTCTGCTGAAAAATTGTTTGGGACTGAGATGGACTGGTATGGTATCCTTCAGATTGATCAAACAGCGGATGAGATAACAATTAAGAAGCAGTACAGGAAGTTTGCTCTCCAACTTCATCCTGATAAAAACAAGTTTTCTGGTGCAGAAGCTGCTTTTAAGCTGATTGGTGAAGCTCAAAGAGTGCTTTTGGACCGTGACAAACGGAGCATGCATGACCTGAAACGCAAGACTTCTGTGAGTAAAACAGGTGTGCCACATCGACCCCCACATAGGGCGAGTTGGAACTCAAATCCTGGAGTTCAAAACAACTCCAGAGGCAACTTTACAGGCGTTAATCTCCAGAGCCAGCAGCAACAACAGCCTTTTCCACCGGGGTATTCAGATGCCCGATCGACTTTTTGGACTGCCTGCCCATTTTGTTCAGTTAAGTACCAGTATTATAGAGAAGTTCTTCTTAGATCTCTTCGTTGTCAAGGCTGCGGTAAGCCCTTCATTGCATATGACACAAATGTGCCAGGTGGCGCACCACCACCACCACCACCACCACCACCAACTAACTTAAGTCAGCAGGCATTCCCCCCCAAAAAAGTCAATGTCAACATGTCTGAAGTGAGACTTCAGAGGAATGTTGGAGCTGAAAACTCCAAAGCTAAACCTTTCCAAAAGACAGACCAAAGGTCAAGTAGCTCTTCAGGTGTTCGTTCAGAAAAGGTAAAGCGTAAGAGAGACAGGAAACGTGTAGTAGAATCCAGTGAAAGCAGTGACTCTGAAAGCAACAGTGATTCTGAAGAAGATATGGTCATTGATGATGCAAGCGGCAGTGATTCTGAAGAAGATATGGTCATTGATGATGCTGTTCTTCAGGCTGGACTGAAATCTGGAATTTATGGAAACCAGCAACCACGGAGATCTTCACGGCATAAGCAGCATATTTCTTATAAGGAAAATCTAAGCGATGGTGAAGACACTCCTCTATCAAAAAGGGAGAAGAGGACTGTCTCATCCTGTGCCACTGAAGAGGAAAATGAAGACGCATCTAAAGTGGAGGAATCTATAATGAATAATAAATCTGATCGTGCCGCTGACACTAAAGGAGATGAAAAGGTGAAACAGAAAGAAGAGTGTTTGACAAATAGAGTTGGGGAAAAAAAGTCTGGGGCTAAAGAAAGGGTGAAAGTATTTGACTCTAAGAAAATTTCTGAGGCACTTGAGAATTCTGCATCACATAAAAGCTCCAATGAAAAACAAGAACCAGACCCCTTGTATTCTTTTCCTGAGAGTGATTTCAACGACTTTGAGAGGTACCGGAAAGAAGAACTCTTTGAAGCTGGGCAGGTGTGGGCTATTTATGATACTCGAAATGGGATGCCAAGATTCTATGCTAGAATCAAGAAAGTTCACTCACCTGAGTTCAAGTTGCAGATAACCTGGCTAGAGCCTGACCCCGATGATGATAATGAAATGAAATGGGCCAAATCTGACTTGCCGTTTTCTTGTGGTAAATTCAGACAAGGTGACTCTGAAATCACGAAAGATCTTCCCATGTTCTCTCATTTGATGACTTGGGGGAAGATTAGAAGTTCTTACATGATATATCCAAGAAAGGGAGAGATTTGGGCCATTTTCAAGAACTGGGACATAAACTTGTACACTGATGCAGACTCTAATCAGAAGCTGAACTTTGAATACGAATTTGTTGATATTTTATCAGACTATTCTGAGGATGTTGGAATATCTGTTGCACTCTTGGACAAGGTGAAAGGTTTTGTGAGTGTTTTCTGTCGAAGGGTTAAGGATGGGAAAGGCACATTTCAAGTTCCACCAGGAGAATTATTGAGGTTTTCCCACAGAGTTCCATCTTATACATTGACTGGTGACGAAGGAGTAGGAATTCCATCAGGATCTGTTGAGCTTGATCCCGCCTCTTTGCCTTTTAATATTGAAGAAGTTCCTATTTCTAGAGATCGGAAAACGGAGGCTAGTACTCATAGTAATGGTTTTTCTAAATCTCCGGATACAAGGAATGAAGACAGTAATGTTCCCAAAGGGTCATCGCCAGAAGGCATCGCTATTCCAGAAGCTGAGTTCTACAACTTTGATGCTGATAAATCTCTGGAAAAGTTTGAGATTGGTCAGATCTGGGCATTGTATAGTGATGAGGATGGCTTGCCAAAATACTATGGCCAGATAAAAAACCTTGATTGTCACCGATCCAAATTGCATATTGCATGGCTTGCTTCCAACTTACTACCAGACAGGGTGATTCGATGGCATGATGAGGGGATGCCTGTTTGCTGCGGGAGATTTAGGGTTAGAAGGAGTACGCTCCAGGACTATGATTCTACTCTGTCCTTTTCACACCGGGTAAATGCAATTTCTATTGGTAAGAATGATTTTGAAATATATCCTCAAAGAGGTGAGGTTTGGGCGTTGTATAAGAACTGGACAGCTGATCTCTCGTGTTCTGACTTGGATACCTGCGAGTATGACATAGTGGCAGTGTGGAAAGAAAATGATATTCAAAGAGAGGTCTTGATTTTAGAGCGTGTGGATGGTTTCAACTCAGTTTTCAAGACTCAGTTGAAAGGAGGATCAGCTGAAACCATGACCATCCGTGGGGTTGAGCTACTAAGGTTTTCTCACATGATTCCCTCTTTCAAGCTAACAGACCAAAAAGGCGGCAGCCTCAGAGGGTGCTGGGAACTTGATCCTGCTGCATTGCCGCTTCGGTTCTTTAGTCAGACTTGAGTTGGCAACCAGACTAGCCTTTTGCTTCATAGGGCCTCTTCCCAGGATGCCGGTGTGGGAAATGGAACCGTCTGGGAGAAGATTCTGATGTATTCTAGCGCGACCGAGCCTGCCCAGTTCTGATTAACGAATCAACCAGCCGTCTTTTGATTGGTATTATGAGGCAGGCAAATTTTGTAGCCGACTTTGGTCTTTGGTGAGGAAGGAGGAGGTGTCTCTGCTGGTTTTTTGTATTGCGTATTCTGAATATCTTGTTTATAGATCCTTTAATTTTCATTGAACCCTGGGTTACCAATGCTGGAATGTTGGCCAAACAGTTCAAAAAAGAAAAACTGAAATTTTTTACTGTATCTGGAACCTAGTATTTGAATTTTCTGATGAACAACCACATCTTCCTAGATATACGTTTCTGTTAGCTTTTTACTTTGATGTTTGTTCTTCCAACAGGTTGGCTTCCTAGTTATTTCCAAATTCATTGGACATGGAAGGCTTCAAGTAAGTGCTTTGGTCCGACCATGTCCGGCAGCTGCCGGGAAGTTCAAAGGCAATTGTATAGCATATGTTTGTTGTACTCGGGATTATATAGTCCTACAATAGTAGGTGCTGCATCCAATCAGATCCCATATACTTTTGTATGTTACTACTTTATTATTGAGGAGAAGATACACTTGCATTCTTGTTTAGCATAAGACCGTATCAGCTTACCGGTTGTATACTCATGTTGCATGTAAGTTTATCTCTTTACTAAAATTTTAGGATAAGGTCGTATCAGCTTCCCAGTTGTATACTCATGTTGCATGTAAGTTTATCTCTTTACTAAAATTTATTAAACGGCGTATTTTATTATATTACATTGGAGGACTAGAACTTAAACAACATATTTTAATTTTAACTCATTACCCACTAATGAACAGAGAGAAGAAACAAAACGTTACTAATGAACAGAGAAGAAGAAACAAAAATAAAAAGGGGCCGTTCCGAGAATCGAACTCGGGACCTCTTGCACCCAAAGCAAGAATCATACCACTAGACCAAACGGCCGATCTTGTAGTTGTGTTATTTATAATACTAGACTAGAGATTATCAAGTACATGCTCTATATTAGGCTGATGATTTTCAGCCGTTCGATCTTGACTTTATCGTTTCCTGTAACTGGTGAAGTGAAGGTTTTTTTGCCAACAGGATTCTCCGGATCCTTTTGGTAAGGATCTTAGGGATCTATAAATCGTGTCCATTTATCGTATATTGTACAGTTAATTTTTATCAGATACTGTTTGTATTTAATTTTAAATAAAAATATTTAAAATAATTTTTGACAACATAATATACGATGTATATATATGATTTCTGAATTCCTGAAATCGTCACAAATAGGATACGGAAAGGATCCGAATTCGTTTTTTTGCAGTACTTATGTTTTCACAGTTTTACTGTACAGGTGTCCGACAAGTAAAAACAAAAGAGAGAAAGTGAAGAAGAAGTTACCCATGTGACTCAAAAACAAAGAAGAAGTTACAAACTTGGGTTCCGGTTAAATCAGACTGTCACATAGTGTTGTCCTACACGCCTTAATTTTCCCTCCAAAATTTCATTACTCGCCCCCACTATTTTCCCTCCACCTCAAAAACCCTAACCCTAATCTCTCTCTCGCTCCTCTCTTTCCCAATTGGTCGTCTTTCTTTTCTCACTTCCGCATTTCCCACTCCGCTTTCGATCCTCTCCATCAAATTTTCTTCTTTTTTTATCGTATTTTTTCCTTCTGAAATTTCAATGCTTTTTTTTTTTTTTTTTTCTGGGGTTCCCGTGGATTCTGATCTAGTTTCCGATATGAGTTGAAATGGGTTCTCTCTGGAACGGCGAAGATGAAATCATGCCGATGGAGACAAACTCACTCGCCGATTGCGCAGACACCGAGCCCATTGACACTCAGATTTCAAGCCCTCCATCGTCCGGTAATTTTTTTGTTTGTTAAAGTTTTGCTTTTTATGGTGATTTTAATGTGAATTTATATACAAGGAGTCAAATTTGTTGAATTCATGCTCGCATGGTAAAACTTTCGATTCAAAGATTTCTGTTGTGTTTTTTCTCTCTGAATTTTTTTATGGAAAAGTGTGATTTTGTTACATGTTTGAGCTGAAGTGTGACTTGAAATTGACTGTGCTTTAGTATGTCTTTCACGCATGTCGGGATGTGAATGCTGTTGTCTTTTGGTGTAGGATTATTATTGTGATTGAGATTTCTTTTCTTCTTTTTTGTTTTATTGAAAATTAGATGAAAAGGGCAAATCGAGGGATGCGGATGAGTTAGTGCGAGACACCGTGCCTTGTAATGACACTGTTCCAGTTGAAGATGCATTTGAAACCCAAATGGTAGATTTTGGTGGTGAAACCCAATTAATAGATTTCGGTGGTGAAACCCAATTAATGGATTTTGGTTGGGAAACCCAAGTAATGGATTTTGATGGCGAAACCCAAGTAATGGATTTTGGTGGGGACACACAAGTGATGGATTTCGGCGGTGATACACAAGCAATGGGTTTTGGTGGTGAAACACAAGTAATGGATGATATCAACTGCTATGCGAACATGGAGGAGACCCAGTTATTAGAGTTTGATGATGTAGTTGTCAGTGCCACTGACAGTGAGGAGTCGGATACAACTGAAGTTTTGGATGATAGTAAGGATCTAAGTGATGATGAATCAGTACGGAGAGGTTCTGGTCAATTAGTGAATGAGGAGAATATTAGCCGCACTCCTTGTGAAAATAGTGTAAATGGGTTAATGGAGCAAGCCAATTATTCGGTCGACAATCAACACAATGCAGGTTTGACCTCTTTAATCTAGGCAAGAATACTAATCCTTTCATAACTACCTTATTTTAAAAACTGTCATTCACGGTCTAAATCTTAACCATGCATGATTAAATAATTGATGCCTTATTCTTTATCTTTATCTGCTATTTCATGATTTACATAATGGCCTCATAGATTGCAAATTAATACATTTTCCTTATTATTGATTCTTCTATTGAATGAAATTTTAATTTCTTGGTTTTCGAATGTTTGTTCTATTTCATCATTTTTAGGAATTCGTGAATTCAAATGAAGCTCTCATTTTCATATAAATTCTGCATGCACTCATTATGTGCTAATCTTAAAAAATAAGTTGGGCTTTTATCTTTTAGGGCTCCATGTTTCTGCTGCAACACCTGTGGTTGAAGGCTCCCCGGAACTGAGACCAGGTATGATCTATCCCACTTTTTCATGGTTAGACTGCATTTTTGTTAATCAGAAATTGGGTAAAGTTTTATGGATCAAGATCATGGTTGTGTATTAGTAACTCCTTCATTGCTTTGTTTGGGATGAACTCGCAAAGACTCGACCCTCGTAGAGTTGCATCTTTTATAAGACTCAAGTTGCATGGAAGGCGTATCATATATATTTTGCTAGACTGGTTTTGGTTTATGGCAATGTCATTTTGTTTGAGCATACTATTGGTTTTTTATTTCAAAGCCAGATGTCTGGGTCTATTATCTATTGATATGTTTAACTGATTTTCTACTAAAATAAAATAAATTATAAAGGAAACATCATCTGAATTATTGTCTGGCTACTTACATTGGAATTTCTGGTGGATTGTCTTTTTGGTCCTAATTGTAGGAGTATTGGGAAAGTCAGAATTCATGACTGCTCGATCTAATAATATAATGCTCTCCTGAGTCCTGATACGATCTAATAAGTCATTCTGCCATTTTAATCAGGTTCTGTGCATAAGCATTTTACCTCGGTTCGTGCAGCATCCTTACAGGCCTCTGGTCTAGCAGCTTGCAGTATGGTTTTGAAGGGCACCAACAATAAGTCTTGTTCTGTTAGAAGTAATAATCAGTCTTTGGATCAACTTTCCGGTAAAGATAATGCAGTATCTCTTCTAGGGGGTTCAGCCGTAAATGGAGACGAAGTCAGGCAGGAACATGGTTCAAGGAATGAGAAAAAATGCAGGACTGGAAGTTCAACAGCGAGAAATCTTTTTCCTGAGGATTCAGATGCTGAAAACACAGAAATTTCTCATCACAGGTAGTGGTGAAGAAGGGGAAGATTTGCTTCAGTTTCCTTGTAATTTGGTAGGGTTAAGCTATGTTGACTCTCAAGAACCAGGTGAATTGTCACAAGCTAATGCACTTAATTTTGTGGATAAGTTCCTCCAAAATAATCTTGATGAGTCTAATAAAGAAGTTGGCCATGGAAAGAGAGCTAGGGACACTTCAAAATTTATCTCAAGTGCAAAAGGGCCACAAATATTGGCTAAGAAAGCCAATGACAAAAGCATAGATAAAGGGATTTTTGATTGGGATAATAACCGAGAGGATGAAGAAGGAGGTGAATTTTTCCGCCGAAGAAAAGCAGACTTCTTTGATGGTGGAAGCCATGGGTGGAGATCTCTTCCCCAACCCCAGAAGTCTAAAGGGAAAAGACAGGAGGAGAAGAAGGACCTCAAAACACAATTACAAGGAAAGAACAAGAGAATAGGTGTAGTTCATTCTGATTCAAAACTATTGTTGCATAAATCAAAAGTCGACAAGAAGACAGCACATGAAGATGAAATGAAGCATATAAAGAATCTTGTCAGTGAGTTCGACGAACAGTTCAACAATGACTCCCCAAGAGAGCAGTTGGATACTAATGTTAATAAGAATGCGCCTGAAATGATGAATGTAGGCTTTGATACTCAAATGGCAGCTGAAGCTATAGAAGCCTTGTGTTGTGGTGTAGGGATTTCCAATTGTGATGCTAGTGATGAAAATCAAGGTGCTGGAAGAAAGCAAAAGAGTCCTCCTGAAGGTTCGATGGGAGAAAAATCAAAGAACAGAATTTGTTCAACGAAACCTTCTTCTCGAAAAAGAGGGCGTTTTACTGATACAGGGGTTGCTTCTCGAGAAACTCGACAAGCCAAGAAAACAAGGGTTGGTGCCAGATTATGCAAACATTATTCAATTTCACCTCTGGAATTTTCTAAGAATGCTAGGAAACAGTGTGAAACAGAGGTGGTGATAACAAAATCAAAGAAGGGGAAGTCCATTGCTAAAAATCATCTTAAAATTGACAGGAACAAAAACATGGAGAAAATACCTTCTGTTGCTATTGACCTAAGAACAGAAAAAAAGAATTTACAACAGGATGTTGGTACTTTTACACCCATTGCATGTCGAACAAGACGGTCTATGGTGGTAAATCAGTTAAAGAAAGCTGACAAAGCATCCAGTGATTGTGGAGAAGAGTCAAGCGCTCAAACACAGTATATTGCAACTAGAGAGAAAATATTTAGTTTCACAGGTGGTAAGGTGTCTAATGCGTTGAATGCAAAGCTTTCAAAATTGGGTCCCAGTCGATCCGGAGAAGTTGGAACTAATAAACGAAGCCAACATGATGGTTCAGATCTCAAATTTGAAGCTATTTGCGATGGCATCAAATTGGATACTTTAAGCTTCTCCAAAGGAAAAAGATCTAGGAGAAAGTTATCTGATCAGGTTTGTGGGCCTGATAACTTAAATGATCCATCTGCCCCATTTGCTCAGCCAGACAAAGTTGGACAGCGTTTCAGCAGGCACACAAGATCGCAGGGTGCTGCTCAAAGAATTTGTGTTGATGTAAAATCAACAAGAAGAACCCGATCATGTACACGTGGAGACCAGAATTTGGCTAGAAAGTATGCACATCAAAGTTTAAAAGGTGATCCTGGGAAAGTTCCTCTTCATTGTAATTCTACTCACAAGAATGGGAGAATGATATCAGAGATTCTAACTGGTGAAGAGGCAGTTGGAATTCCTGACAGGAGGAGTGGTGCAAATCCATCTTCTACTACTAAAATGAGGGATGAATCCCCACTAGGGAAATGCAAGCCATCGGATTCAGGTTGTGCTACTCCAGTTAACAGTAAGGTGCCTGCCAATGATGCATCTCCAGTTTGTATGGGTAGTGAATATTTCAAACAGACATGCAAGAAGACCCCTTCAAGGCCAGGACTTTCAAAAGAAATCCGTGACTTAAGTGCAAACGGGAATACACCAACTTCAGCAAAGAGAGATAGGACTGATGTTCGAGTATTGTATAGCCACCACTTGGATGACAATGTAATTAAGCATCAGAAAAAGGTATTTTGTGAGTGAGTTTAGTCTCTTTTAAAATTTGTAAGTTCTAAACTAATCTTATCTGCATATCTTTTTTTTGCAGATTTTGGCCAGACTAGGAGTTTCTGTAGCATCCTCTATGACAGATGCCACGCACTTCATAGCAGATCAATTCATGCGTACAAGGAATATGTTAGAAGCTATTGCTGCTGGAAAACCAGTGGTAACGCATTTATGGCTCGATAGCTGTGGACAAGCTAGTTGTTTCATCGATGAGAAAAACTATATACTAAGGGATACTAAGAAGGAGAAGGAGTTCGGCTTTAGCATGCCAGCTTCGTTGGCACGTGCGTGCCAGCATCCACTTCTGGAGGTAAATATTAACCTAATGTTTGTCCCCACAGATAGAGACTTATTATGCATTCCCATTAAGACAAGGTTTTGCAGGGTCGTAAAGTCTTCATCACCCCAAATACGAAGCCTGGTAAAGATATAATTTCAAGTCTGGTCAAAGCAGTCCGTGGCCAGGTATGGTTTTCTTTCTCTTCGCGCACGCATATACAGCAACATGCGTGTATAAAGTTCATCCTTTTTATCTGAACTGTTGATTGCGATTAATTCCAGAAATGATTTTGATTTTGTTCGAAATGCTCATTAGGCTATAGAAAGAATTGGTAGATCTGTTTTGGAGGCTGATAAAATTCCTGATGATCTGTTGGTTGTATCTTGTGAAGAAGATTATGAAATCTGTGTGCCTTTACTCGAAAAAGGTTAGCAGCCATCTCTTTTATTTACCAAGTATTTATAAGAAGACAAGATTATTATTTTTTGTTTTGACACTGCTTTATACTTTCAGGAGCTACAGTTTACAGCTCAGAGTTGCTATTGAATGGGATTGTTACTCAGAAGCTGAAGTTTGAAAGGTTGGTTTTACTTCCTGGATTTTACCTTTGTTATTAGAAAGTAATGTCTCTTGTTCTTGTATACTCATCGTTGTATTCAATTGGTTTTGTCCTCTTTAAAAAAATGGAAGAAACTGAAGATTATGTGTATTGAGGATTCAAATCTTAGTTTCCTAACACGCTTGCACAAATTATGTGACAGGCATCGCCTCTTTACAGATCAAGTTAAGAAAACCCGTTCCACCATATGGCTGAGGAAAGATGGCAACAAGTTCCTCCCTGTGACGAAAGATAGATAAGGTCAATTATATTTGTTCATCTTTTTTCCTCAAATATTTTTCCTCCTTCACAGTCAGGCATTTTCGTTGTGATGATGTGCATTACTAATTGAGTTGAGTTTTCTTCTTTAAATTTTCCCTGTAAAAATCTCCATGTTGTATATAACCGTACTACTTGCAAATATGTGGAAAGGTTTCTTTGTTCTCCCTTTTTAATTGGGTGATGCAGCTAGTTACTGGATACTGCATCTAAAGATTTGCATACTGTAAAGGCATCAAGTTATGGTTTTCCATCGTACATATCTTGTACTTTGAGGCCTCATTTGGTGTGTATCAGATTGGATTGGATTATGTTGAAGCAAGAAATGGATATCAACTTCCAAGCGTGTCCAAGTTAAAGGTAGAAGATGGATTAGAGAAAGGAAACTTCTCATTCCAATCCAACGAAGGTGGACGGGGTAAGTTTCCTTCATGTCTAATTCATCGTCCACCTTTAGCTTGAACAAGGTTTCAAAGTCGACATCCATTTGTTGTATCAACATACCTAGAATGTGGTAGCTTATCCAATCCAATCCAATACAAACCACCGCCGAGACCTAAACTCAATGCCTCAGAGTCGTCGTTCCAGCACTAATTGCTCTACTGTTTCGACACAATGGTTCCCGAAAAATTTTGAGCTTTCATTTTATGGGAGTTTTGATTTGGAGCTCATAAAGCAAACTGCGCTTGCTTTAACGTGTAAATCTTACGTCCTTCAACCAAACCTAAGTGGGTAAGAGCGTCTATCCTTGTACTCGAGGTCTTGTGCTCCATTCTCCCGCCCCAAATGGCACGACATTGTTTAGAAAACTAAAGTAAAAAAATATAAATATAGACAGAAGAAGGGATGCAACATTTAGCACTTTACTATTTAACTCCAAGCTTCATCTTTCTATAATACAAAAACTTGTACATTCAACTTGGCCAGAGTATATAAGATTACAATTTACCAACACAAAATGCAATTGCTTGTTAATTACAGGAATCAGTCATACAGGGCTAGAGCTTTGAGTTTGTGCGACTTGAACTCTCCAGGTGTAATATTGGATATACAATGAGTTGAGGCTCATCGCTATCCCGAAACCCAATACCGCAGCGAGCAATATCGAGTAAATGGCAGTCAGATGAAGCTGAAAGAAAGAACACAAATGCTTTACTTCCCAAGGCATAGTGAAGTAATTAGTAATCAAAGCACTCAATCTGGCATTAGGCAGTTTGGTGCACCATAGAAAAAACCGCAGTAAGCAACGTAAACACACATGCAAACCATGGAGCATATTAACGACAGGGTTTGGATCAGAAATCGAATGCATCACTCACTGTGCTGTAGAACAGGTGGACGATTAGGGCGACAAGCGCAAACTCAAGAGCTGCATATGTCCATATATACTCCCTGATTGCTGCACATTAAACAAGCAAATGGTTACAGTTATAAACTCATAAAGAGAAGAGAACCAGAAATCTCAGAGGCTCTGCTATACCAAGGATGATGGCGAATATGGATGCCAAGAGGCTCAATGTAAATGCAAATGGTGCTGCAATTACAATGGCTTGATTTTTCATGTCACGAATCTACACATTTGCAAAGAGTAGAATTAGCATCGTTATGCCAACTATCAGTCACAATTTGAACCAGCTCGGTCCTTCCTTTCAATGCGTACTTTCTGGGACCCTGTATGATCTCAGATAGTTTGTAGACCATACAAATGAACAGATAACATTTCATGGCACCTAGAGCCGCATAATTTAGGTTACACAATGTCTTGCATAGCACTCGGTATGGTATGATTATATACAATTCAATTGGATTATTTTGAATTTCAATGGGGGATATTGAACTCATCAGGAGACATGAACAAGTTAGTATAGTGGAAATCAAATTCTTAGTTCCTAATTTTTTTTTCAATAGAAGAATGGCATACCAGTAGCTGCTCAAGGAAGAAGAAATAGCATATGGTGCTAATTAAAACCAGTACCACAAAGTCCTGCCAGGCACTGCATAAAATATGACTTTTATTAGCTATAAAAGAGTAAAAAGGAAGCATGATATCTATCATAAGTTGGATTCTACAAATAATGTGGAGGGGTGACATGATAAAAAGGAAAACTGTACGGTAGCACTGTTGCCTGCCTATTCATAAATCAATGACGTGGGTATGATGGCTGACATTTGTCTCTACGAGATAAGAAAGTATGATTTGGATCCAAACGATATGACTTAGATCCTCTTCTGACATTACATGTTAAGAAATCTATTTGGACGTTCATGACTGTTCAATCGTGAATGAATGGAAATGGATGCATCGCAAATAGGTTTCTACCTGTTTTTTCTTTACCTTTAATAGTCATGATATCATGAATCTATATATATCATCCCCCTATCAAAGTCCTCAACAGAAGGATCTCAATACTGCATTATCATACCTTATCGTTTCTGGATGCAAACCCTGTTGGTTGTGCTGCTGTCTGCTACCCCTTTGAGCAGTGCTCTGCACCCGAAGCAATGTTACAGGTAAATTCTGAACCTCTTGACCACATACATCACATTTCTTGTTTCCTTTTGTGCTAAACCACTTAATGGCGCACTCTTCATGTAGAAGTCTGAGAGCACCTTTGCAAAAGCATTCCATTTTGAGCGTATTTTGTTCATCACATACATCAAGACATATCCTGCACACCGCTTCTTCTTCAGGAATTTCTTCATCATTGGCCTCCACCGGAACTGGAGTTATTTGATCTGAGTTGCCGAAAATAAATTTCAAAGGGATTATGTATAGTGAATAATCTTTGAGAGAGAGAGAGAGACAGAGAGAGAGAGACGTAAGCCAAAAAGTAGTTGAAATATAGTGAGTAAATTCATTCATGGTTACAAATATGTAAGTTGCATAGGCAGCATGAACAGAAAACCAGAATAATAGATTCACTACATACCATCACTAGGATCTGTTTGAGTCTGCCCATTTCTAGTTGCAAAAGATACGGATCTTACAATGACTTTATTTTGTCCAGGCATAGAAAGGGATCTCGAAACTGTTGTAGTTTCTTTCTGCAGGAAATTAATCACAACCATCTCAATTTTTTTCGGATGGATGATTTCCGGATTTACAAGCCATTTCTATGGAAGCTTAAGCATTAGCAGCGGAAAAAGAATTAAAAGAAGCACAAAGATTGGTTAATTGCGAAGTTGACCTGAATTATCATATAAAACGATGACGAGGTATCTTGAGTGTCTGAACTGGAAATGTAAATCAGATTCCACTTACGGAACAATGAATGTACAGACACCATTCTTGGAAACAGCATTTAAGAGAGGAAAAGAAAGAGATATCTACAATGTCTGTAGGTAAATCGTCGATCACAATTTTTGTTTGGAAGATTATGATCTTTTATTGCACACCAGTTTTATACCTCCAAATGTAAAGAAGTTGATGTGGAATTTCAAAATCTAGGGGAAACTCTAGAATGCATGACCACTTACATGTTGCTTGTGCGCTTCATTATACATCCTTGCGGATATAGGCGTAGCAACAGAGGGGGACAAATTTGATGCCGGCGTAACAGGAAGAGAGGTACATCTTTTCCAAGAAAATGGCGATACTGAATTGGCCATTGTAGGACTTTCAGGAGCTCTACTGGGGCCTGAATTAAGGAGGGAGCTTTTCTCACCATCCGGTTGGTTACCTTTTTTCTTGAAGCTTAAACCCCGGAAGAGGCCGCCTGATAGCGAGCTACCCTTAGAGGAACCTTGAGACTGTAGTAAACCCTTTCCGCTACGGCTACTGCCAAAACCTGCAGGCCTTGGGGGTATCTGAAGTGATATATCCGGGCGCCTCCCGGGAGGTTCTGGTTCGGTGCCTTCTTCCTTTACTGTCTTCAGATTTTGGAGACCACCCTACATCATAACATCTAACACTACTTGTCATTTGGTCTATAAGCTTTCATAAGATTTCTTATATCAATGTAAAATTTTTAATAAAAAGACACTTTTTTTTCACAAAAACAACCCAAATGGCTGTAAAGATGGAGGGATTTTCTGGTAATACTCCGGGGTTTTTAACCGTTATTTAAATCAGTCCAGATCTGCAATAATTACAAAAAGTAACAGAAAAGCAGTTTGCAGAACACAATCAAGATCTGCAAAATACTAATAAGGGAGGGCAAAAGAGAATGTAACAGTTTGGTATCTGAAATCCAAAAAATCACCAAAAGTCCCAACTCTAATTTAAAAAAGCGGCACACGAAATAAATATTCTTAGAAAAAGTGGGAGGAAATAAACAGACAAAAAAAGACCACCCACTTGATATCTTGAGCTAAAGAATGAAAATCTAAGTTCAAATCTTGCATTTTGTCCACAAAAAAGTTCAAATCTTGCAAGAAGAAAGCATAAGTTGCATCCAAATAGGTACAGAAACAGTAAACGCAAACATGGAAACATAATAAAACAGTAAAAAGGTGGGGTAGTTGAGATACAAACCTGAGGGGGAGGAGGAGGAGGAGGAGGAGGAGGAGGAGGAGGAGATTCTACAGCTCCATTGGAGACTGATTGAGCTGCTTGCATTGTTATTTTTTAGGCCCCTCCCCAAGAAAAAAACCCAGAAAACAAAAAAAGAGTGGCAAATCTGACAGAGCGAGGAATGAAAAATTTGTTAAGGAATTTGGAAAGTGGAAAGTTTTTATTACTTTATTGTATTGGTGAGAAAAAAAACATGGAATTATTGGGAGGGAGGGACTGGGAGGACGCTGGTCTGGTCCGGTTTGCGTAGGAAGGATGACGACAAGTTTTGTTTGAGAATGTTTCGTCTCGTTGCCGCATTCACTTCCCCCACTCGCGCCCTTCTTGGTAAACTTTCTTACTCGCTGCTTCATAAAAACATTATTTCAACGCTTCTATGAAGCTCAATTTTCTATTAAGCACAAGTCAATCTTTGATAAGGAAGTATGCAGTGTAGAAAGATCAGGTAGGAATAGGATTCCTCGCGGAAGATGAGGAAGTTCCATACATTTTAAGGGAACAAGGACTGGGCCACACTGATATTTTTTTTTTTTAACAGAAGATGATATTATCTACACTAAAAAGTGACGATGAGTTCACCCTCACAATAAGCTAGCAATAATATCGTCCAAATTTGCCTTAGGCGAAAATTGAACCTAATATCTCTCACTTACAAGTGAAGAAGAATACCATTAAATCATAGTATTAAGTGGCAGTCATAGTGATTTTATCCCCTAGGTGAGGGATTCTCTTTTTTTTTTAAATAGGGACATCATCTTGACCGTTAAATTTGACTTTAATGAAATTGTGTGCCTGTGATTTAATCTCAACCACACAATTTCATTAAAGCCAATCCAACAGTTAAGAGGGTGTCCTCATTTTTTTTTTGAAAAATGGGGATCCCTCTTGTTAAGGGATTCCTATATATATATTTGTGAATAGTACTTGCTCTTGTCTTTGCCATTGGCCTTTTCAAAATAATAGAGTTACACAAAGACAAGTATTATTCAGAGTGAACAAGGACAACTTATATGCCTTTGCCTCTGCCTTCTACCAACTGATGGAAAAGTTCTTAAGAATTTCACATACATAAATATATATATACATACATATATATATATATATATAGACACACGTATATTGTGATATCCATATAATTATACAATTCTAAAATTTTACAGATCAGTACTCAACTGTGTTGGTTGAGCTCAAAGTGGCAAAAGCAATTTGGAAATGATATTCCCTTGCCCACTCATGTTTGTATTTTACCTTTAAGTTGAGTAAATCAAATGAAATCAAGAGACGTGATATAAGTAAGGCATGCAACACCTCATTTTTGTACCCCTTTTAGTTTCACCAAGTGAGAGGATACCATACATTTTTGCTCATCACCTTCCAAGTGGTGAGCATTACCATTATTTCAAAGTTGTGATACATTTTTGCTCACCACCTTACTTATTACTATTGATGGGTTTAATTTTGAGATTTATATATATTCACTGTATAGATCTTAAAATTCAAATACATCAAACAAACAGTAATACATAAAGTGACGAATGTTACCAACATCATTTAAGAGTAGTGAACGAAAATATTCCTGTAAAGTATAGAGCAAAGCAATCTACTTGTATACATGAGATGATGACAAATAACCTACTTGTGGTTGTGTGGGGCCCTTTCCATTGAATATTTAGCATCGTCATCATCAAAGACAAACCAAAAAGAGAAAGGGGAAGCACAAAGGAAAGGATCCTTCCAGGGAAGCTACGAGCCTACGAACCTCTGTCCTCCGCGACTTATGATTATTATGGTATCAGATTCTTTTTCTTTTCATATCAAACTTTATACTTACGTGTACATTGAATAATAGTTTATCTTTTGTTATAGTTTCGTATTGAACTTCATATGTGTGCTACATTGAATAAAGGTTTACCTTTCGAAGACGGGGAGATTTGAGAGAGATGACGTCAAATTCAAACGCTCTCTATAGATATTGGTTTTTGATGTTAAGCATTAATAAGTGGCGATGAACAATAAGAAAATATCACAAGTGTTACAACAAATAATATAGATTATGTGGTTTTGAGGTCAAGCCAAATAAATTATGATTTGGTTAGTGTAAGTTTTATTGTAAGCAATATCACTACTCTAATCATATTACACTTGATATACGCGTACATTGAATAATAGTTGATGAGAAAAATTATTATTGTTTGAAGATGAATACATTTGAGATTTTGTGAGAGACGACATCAAATTCGAATGCTCTATGGATTTTGGTTTTTTATGTTATACATTAATAATGATGACCAATAAGAAAATATCAAAAATGTTGCAATAAATAATACAGATTACGCGATTTGGTTGTGTTTAGGCTGTTTTGAGGTCAATCCATTGAAACTTGATTTGGTTATTTTAAGTTTTGTTGCAAGCGGTAAAATTACTCTAATTTATACCATGATTTAGGATTGGGAGGCATGTTGTAAAGTTTTCATTAAAACTTTAAAGCATTCTTTTTTAATCTAGGATGTGGAGCCAAAAATATTCACTAGGCGATACATGGACTTTTGGACAAAAGAGGACAAAAATACCCTCGAGGTATACCGGGTTTCTTACACGCGAGCAGTGGAGAATCATCCATCAACCAAGTCAGGAGTATCCAAAATGGGTAACAATTCAAAACCTATTTCATTCCATATATGTTTTTACCCCATTTTTTCCTTATTCAATTAACCATTTATTTCAAACATTCCATAACATCCTCAATCAATTAAAAGCCAAAAATCACCCTAAAAGCCGTTGGTCCTTCTCCAAAATGGGGGCCGGCCATTCCCTTTGATTTCCTACCACAATTTGCCTTTTTTACATTGGTTAGCTAATCTTTTCAACCATTATTTGATTGATTAGCTGATCATGCCATGAAAGTCATAAAAACATTCCCTTTATATTGATAATTAACCAATTAATATATTATTCTTAATTAATATATTAATTGCTAAATTAAGCCACCTCCTATCCCTATATATATGCTCCCATTTCCACCAAAAACCCATTCCAATTCTCTTACAAAAAATCACAAATACTCTAAACACTATTTCTCTCTAAAATTCTAACTTTGGCATCGGAGGTTCTTCGGCCAAAGCCCCCCCATTCATCGTGGGCGCGTGAGGCTTTTGGCCTTAACCTAAGGTGCTAGTTGTTTTGTAGGTGCAAAATCGTCCAAGATCGAGGAGGAGCAAATTTGCATCCACATAGGACACTCACAAGTAAGACTCCGATTTCTTATTATTTTATTTTACTTTTACGAAAGTTGTGCAATTTTAGGAGGTTTCAACTTTCAACATGAAAATTCTAAGAGTCGTTTGAGAACTATTTCGTTTTCAGTTTTTATTTTTTTGAAAACTGAAAACTGAAATCTTGTTTGGTAATTATTTTTAATTTTCAGTTTTAAGAAAATGAAAAACTCAAGGCCAAATTTTGAAAACTTCAAGAATGTAGTTTTAAGTTTTCCAATGTTTATTTTAAAAACGGTTTTTTATCACAAATGGTCCCTAAAATTGAGCAAACTTATCATTTTGATCTCTCATTTTCAAAATCAATCAATGTCATCTCTAACATTTACTACCTCACATCAATTTGGTCATTCCGTTAAGATTCCGTCAATTATTCTGTTAGTTTGTATGTGAGACCTACAAATCCAATAAAATGGTGACATGTGGATTACACAAAATAAGGGGTTTTACGCAAATGGTCCCTAACATTGACCCAACTCCTCATTTCGGTCCTTGAGTTTTAAAAATCGATAAATTTGGTCCCTGACTTTTACTACCGCACATCAATTTATTCCCTCCGTTAATGTGGTCCCACTAATCCAATTATATGGCTCAACGTGGATTAATTATAAGAAACTATTTTTTTAAGAGTAAACCAAAGGAAAAGTATTCCGCGCTGTTATTTTTCTCGCATCGCACAACTCCAATTGGAAGAAAAATTGAATCTAAATTCGATAAAATTGAATCCAAATTCAATTCAAATTTGATAGGACTTAGGATTATAACTAACTAGAGAGAATAAGGAGTGAGTTCAGGAAACCAAGTACTTAGTGGTGTCATGGTGCCTTCCTTTTCTTTTGAGTATACACTGATGAAGATGACGATGACTTTTTTTTTTCTTTTAGTTTTGGTTTTTAGTTTCTTTTTTACTTTTTGTTTTAAATCTTAAAAAAAAGGTAAATCTCAGTTTACTATCATCAAGTTTTGTGGTTTTCAACATTTGGTATATGAAGTTTTTTTCGTCCCGGAGTCATACCTAAAGTGTCAATTTTGGGACAGTCTCATACATCCGTTAGTCTGGCTGTTAAGTCTCCCGTTAACTGATGACGTGGCACCCATGTGGACAATGACTGGGCACCACGTGTCATCAAGGGGTCCACGTGTCATTAAAAACCTGGAAACCTTCATCTCTCTGTTCAAAGCAGCAGCAACCTTCATCTCTCTTATTTGATCTCCACCATCACTATCTCTAGGAGCTCCTGTTGCTTCGTCTTCAACTCTTCATAAAACCCGGCAAATATGATTTCACAAATTTTCAATATTTCTCAAAATCTAGCAAACCCAACTCCACAAATTTGACATTTTTCCATAATCCTACGAACCCAACTCGACAAAATTGCATATTGAAATTGGCATAAAAATTTGAACCTGGATTGAAGGGTAAGAGACGACCCTAGACCCCTGCAATTCCCATGACCCTACCCCTCGACCCCTGCAATTCTGAATCGGGAATCCGGTTGGGATCTAGGTCGTGCAGTTGACCATGAAACACCTAGCATTATTCGAGACTGAGCTTTCTATCAGCCAGCTAGCCAACTGGATTTTTCGAATTAGGCTGCAGCGGCGATGGGTTGTCTTCGAAATCAGAGTTGGTGATGACGAAGGACACCGAATCAAAGATCGGTGTCACTCCTGCTGCCAATACACCTGCAACTTCTTGAGAAGCAGATGGATGAGATTCTTTCTCATTCCAGTTGGACGGGAGGTAAGGGATGATAGTTGGTTGCAGATATGAGGAACGGAAAAAAGGGAGTGGATTCATTCTACCGTCGCCCTCATGTGCAGTAGGATTTGAGAGCTATGGTTTGTGAAGGTTTGGGAGAATTTTTTTCGAACAGAGAGATGAAGGTTTCTAGGTTTTTAATGACACGTGGACCCTTAATGACACGTGACGTCCAATCATTGTCCACATGAGTGCCACGTCATTAGTTAATAGGAGACTTAACAGCCAGACCAACGGATGTATGACACCGTCCCAAAATTAACACTTTAGGTATGACTCTGGGACGAAAAAAACTTC